TTTTATAGGGCAGTTTTAGCTTGTCTCATTGTTTAGACTCCAGGTTAACTGACTTCTGACTCCAATTAGCTTTTCGAGAAGTCATTAGCCTTGGGATTCACCTTTTTTCACTTTGTGCTGTGAATGTTTAGATGGTGTGTTCGGTTAAGACACAAACACATATCATTAGGTGTTATTTATTTTAAATAGATAGTGTGGTTGTTTGTTGAGTATAGATAAAAGTAGCTGACCAGTAAAACTAGGTAAATTTAAAGTGTCTCCTTTTACATAACTTTTTTTAATGTCGATATAAATACTATGCGTTTCTCTACTGCATGATTTATTTATGTATTATTCATTAGTGAATTTGTTCTTTATTTAAATATTGTAAAAATTATAAAGGTTAGTGATATTTAACCTGTTTTGCCCGCTAACTTAACCCTTCATCGAAAAATCTAATCCTCTCCAGGTGCTGAACAGTAGGACTTTTTTCTCTGGCTCTCCTCGTTTACTTTGACCTTACTTGAATAATTAAAGCTAAATTTCCCATTGTGCTGGCCTGAAGCACCTTAATTATGTATTTAAATGTTTTCTGCCAACTTTTTAAGTAAAATAACAGGTGGTGGTTCAAGAGCCTCTGGCATCCTATTAGACTTAATAAGAATTATAATAATAATAATTACAGCTTGAACATATATAGTAGCAGTAGCAAAACAGTATACTAATTCATTATTAAGTTTTTTAAATGAATATATTATTGTAATGGCGAGGCAGTGGCCAGTAGGTAGTGCTGTCGCCTCACAGCAAGAAGGTCGCTGGTTCAAACTGCGGCTCAGTTGGCGTTTCTGTGTGGAGTTTGCATGTTCTCCCTGCCTTCGCATGGGTTTCCTCCGGGTGCTCTGGTTTAGCCCACAGTCCAAAGACATGCGGTACAGGTGAATTGGGTAGGCTAAATTGTCTGTAGTGTATGAGTGTGTGTGTGGATATTTCCCAGAGATGGGTTGCGGCTGGAAGGGCATCCGCTGCGTGAAAACTTGCTGGATAAGTTGGCGGTTCATTCCGCTGTGGCGACCCCGGATTAATAAAGGGACTAAGCCGACAAGAAAATGAATGAATGAATATTATTGTAATGAAGATTATTATACTTGTTTGTAAAGTAAAATTTTAATGTTTAATGTCGTAATTATAATAAACAATCTTAGCATCCAAATATAGCAACAAACAGGTATGATAAATGTATGAAATTACTGGTAAAAGATATTTGTGTAATTTAATTACATTTATTTATTTATTTATTTATTTATTTATTTATTTATTTATTTTATTACCATGTACTAGCCATGGCATGCTAACATAACACAACTTTCTTCTCATGCAGATCTGACTTGCAGTGTTCCACAGCAATCGATTCCTGCATCCTAGCAAATCTTGTTATATATGTTGCGCTTAGGAACTATAATGAGAAAGTTTGTAATTATGTATTACTGCTATGCAGATAATACATAGCTTTATATACCTATTCTGGCTCAACAATAACTTGATGCTTTTGAATGAAGATAAAACCTGAGTTATTATTTTTGTCCTCCACAGCATTCTAGCAAACCACCAACTGATCTTGGTGTTTCAAAGCAGGAAGGGCTTTAAAACGACTATTCATGCTTTGATTTTCACGGGATTAGATTATTGTAATTCTTTACATATTGGTCTACTTTCATCTTCTGTTTCTAGACTTCTAGACCGCCCGTTTGCTCAAGAGTGGCCACAAATATGACCATATCACAACATTGGTGTCCGATTCATTTCCAAATAGACTTTAAAATTATACTGTTTGTTTATAAAACCTTGCATAACCTAGTGCCACTGTATCTTCCTGATCTAATCACGGCCAAGGCCCAAACCCGATCGCTTAGATCAAATTCTGACTGCCATCTATTGCAAATACCTCAATCTCATCTCAAATGCAGGGGCGATAGAGCCTTTGCAGTTGTGGGTCCAAAACTATGGAATATGTTACCATTAAAAATCAGAATAGCACTCACTCTATCTGTTTTTAAATCGTTGTTAAAGACTTATCTTTTTTCGAGTGCATTTAATATTCCCTACTGTTGGTTCCAGGCTACACTAAATTGCTTTTTTCTTGGAAACTTTTACTGTTGTTACTATTGTTTTATATTGTTGTTTTTATTGTAATGTATGGCTGTTTTTTACCTGCTACTGCTATTGTACAGCTCATTGGTCGACCAAAGGTTGTAATTAAATGTGCTCTAGAAATAAACTTTGATTTAGATAAATAAAACAATTAATTAATCAAACTCTCTTTCGTATCCTAATTACAGACACATTGTTTTAATATGACCATGTACATTTGCATATAACTTTTGTTCATTTCAGTGGTTTTTATGACGAATTATTATCAAGCCGCACACATTATCACTGTCTGGGAACAGATATCCCTTCGTGTGAAAAACAAGCTCAAATAACCACCACCACAGCTTATTTAAACAATTTAAATGCCAAGTGTAACCATTTATGCCTCACTGTTTTATTATTGACAAAATAAGTGTGTTTAATGTGCAGATGTCTGATTTATGTATCCCTCTATTACAGTTTTCATTGGAGTTTCAATCAATCACAGGCAATTCCCTGAAACGCACACACATTCTCTTCCACAAAATCAAAACACACACACACACACACACACACGCATACACAAATACACAAAGGCACAAACACGTTCAATCCTCCACTCTGAGTCTGACCTGTGTCTCAGACGTGTAATTACAGCTCTCACCTGTCTGTAATCACAGGTAAAGCACATCCAATGTTTGGGGCGGTTGATGCTTGTTGTGAAACCCAAGGGAGCAAAGCACTTATACTGCAGTTTAGACAATTCACTGCCTCTCAACGTGCAGCAATCACAGGCAAGAGATAGAGAAGAGCAAAGATAAGGGTCATTGGCCAAGGAGAGCATCTACACCAACCATTCAGTTTTTTCTGCATAACTATTCTTTTCTTGTTTTGGGTGGATGGGGGTCATTGCTGGGGGTTATTGCTGATTAACATTGCTTCTATTTTGTATTTGGCTTTAAAATGTTGTAGGGCACCAATCAATGCATATTCTGTTTTGCCTTGTGCCAGTCATCATCAATACATCTGAATAACAGCAAGGCCAGTCCTTTTGTTTGGATGCAATGCATTCATTATGTGTTTACAAACAAGCAGAACAGCCAACAGTCAAGCAGAATAAATAATTTAAATGTATTATTATTACTTTTTTTTTTACTTTGGAGAATGTAAGAAGAGAAAGGTAGCAATGATAAGACTTGCGATTTTAATGCATCACCACAGTGCTTCCCATGATATAAAACAGATAACAGAACTAAAATAATAAAGAATTTTATATTGAATTGTCATTTTATAATTGTTATTATTAATGTGCTAACATTTTTTAGAATATTTAATATGCATTGATGATTATGTTTCAACTGGTAACATGTGATTTAATATTAACAGATGAAGAGAGAAGCTTTTCATTTCTTCAACCACCATGTTGGGAGACCCATCCAGTGGAGATTGAGAAGATTTTCTGATTCAGAAAGGTCAAATTATTGGCTTGCAGCAAGAAAATTAAAGAAGATTGCTGAAACTACTAAAATTGAGTGAAGAACTGTCACTTAGCTGATGGTTGATAATAAAGCTTGTTTGGCATGCTGTTTTGTGAGAGAGCTCTGAGCTTATGAGATCCTCCTCCTTGGCTATTGTATCAAGTTGGTATGTTCAATTTACTTAGGTTGCGTGTTTTTTGGACTGTGGAAGGAAACTGGTGAACCCAGGAAAAACCCACGCGAGCACGGATAGAACATGTAAACTTTAGAAGAGACTTTAACCGGAGACATTCTTGCTGTGAGGCAGTGCTAATCACTGTGTCGCTGTGTTGCCCATCTGGAAAGGAGAGGGAGTAGGGGTGGGTGGGGGGGGTATTCTTTAAGATGAAGATATTGAGATAAGAAAACTCTGGTTATTTATATTGAGTTAGGAATCGTCTAATGAGAGAATCAATCATGAGCTGATGCGGGACCAGCTGAGAACAATCATAAGCACATGATCCTCTCGAAATTCGTTTATAAATAAACTTGACTTAAAAATTAGAAGAATAGGGAGGAACTTTCATCTTTCATCACTTAAACGTCTGGTGAAACCAAGTCATTATAAAACAACAGAACTCATGGCTATGCTTGATAGTGAAAATAAGCATTTCCACATACACAGTGTAACGGGAACTCAAGGGATTGGGACTAAACAGCTGTGTAGCTTTAAGAAAACCACTTATCGCTGAGGTTAATCAGAAAAAAGGCTTGAGTTTACCTGGAAGCATGATTGGATTTTGGAGCAGTGGAAGAAGGGCATGTAGCCCGATGAGTCCAGATTTAACCTGTACCAGTGATGGGCACATTAGGGTAAGAAGAGAGACAGACGAAGTGATGCATCGATCATGCCTAGTACCTACCATACAAGCCTATGGATTCTGCAGTTGGTCAGGTTTACGCTTGGCATCTTTATGCGCACAAGAGGTCAGCTGACTACCTGAATATACTGAAAGAACATTATCCATCAAAAGTTTTCTTCCCTGATAACACAGCCATTATTCAAGATTCTAGGTGCTTAGTTTGAGAAAGGGTGGTTTAGAGAGCATATTTTTCCACATGTGGAATCCATGCATGGATTGACCACCACAGAGTCCAGATCTTAACCCTGTTAAGAGTTTTTGGAATGTGCTGGAGAAGACTTTGCAGAGCGGTCTGAATCTCCAATAATCAATACAAGATCTTGGCGAAACAATTAATGCAACAGTGGATGGGAATAAATGTTGTGACATTATCTGTTCACACATTCACGCTTTCAAAAATAATGCCATGTATAAACGTGGAACATGTTTTGTCACAATCTCTTTAGAATACGTAAGCTACATCATGCAACCTGCCTGAAATAAAACTAATCTCTTATATTTCTCTTTCTGACAGGTGGCAGTGTGTGGAATACTCAGAGTTCTCCAGCTGTTCCTCCGTCGTTCTCTCATGTTCTCCAGCCCAACGATGGCCCTCAGGGTATAGCAGGAGGAAGAGTGTCTGCTTTAACACTCCTCCAGCTTAACGGTACGCCACATCATCTCTCTGACGCAGCAGAGCTTGAATTCACATCCGCAGAACTCAAGAGCTCTGCACTTCTCCAGCTCTGGAGACTTTACAAAACTACATCATGTGGGATTTGCTGATAATTCCAGAAGAGGATTTAGCTGAGCATTTCCTTATCTAGTTGTAGTGGCCAGTTTTTATTTTCTTCCCTTTTCAGTATCATCGCTTCTTTCTAATGACAGTTTTGTTCAGATTAGTCTTTTGTCTAAGGAACACAGTGTTATGACATGGAAATGCAGTATGTAAAAGCATCATGAGAAGTCAATATTAGTCTTTTCATTACCTTATTGTGTAAGACATTAATCCTTAGGCTTGAAACATGATAAAGGTCACAGAATAGTATGTGGGTGATTTCTATCCATAAACTTTTTATATACTTAATGTGTAATCTTGCTATTTTGGTGGAAACAAACCTGTTCAGCATTTAAATGCTGTGCTCTTACAGTGAATGTGTTTTAACTATCCTGTTCTAGGAGATTGTTCCTCTGCCATGATAGAAGTTAAAACAACAGAAAAAAAATCACAAAATATAAATGTATGCTTAGGTGTGTACCTTGCAGCGCTTCTGAGAATGCAACATGTATTTGCATGACATTATGCTATGCATTCAGACACATTTCAGAATGCAGTGACGTGTGAAATCAATCTTGCATAGCTAGAAGCCTTTGCATTCATGTAGACATGTACAGCAGCGATTTTACACTGGTGAGCTGTGACCCCAATGCTCACTTAAACATCACTTAATTATTATTCAGTTAATTACTTTATAGGACGACACAGTGGCTCAATGGTTAGCACTGTCACCTCACAGCAAGAAGGTCGCTGGTTCATGTCCCGGCTGGGTCAGTTGGCATTTCTGTGTGGAGTTTGCATGTTCTTCCTGAGTTTGCGTGGGTTTCCTCCAGGTACTCCTGTTTCCTCCCCAAATCCAAAGACATGCGCTATAGGTGAATTGGGTAAGCTAAATTGTCCGTGGTGTATGTGTGTGAAAGAGAGTGTAAGGGTGTTTCCCAGTTTTGGGTTGCAGCTGGAAGTGCATTTACTACGTAAAGCCCCATTCAGATCACACAATTTTTATTGTCGGTTAAGAAAATAACTGTCAAATTATTGGAATCTTAATAAAATCATGATCTATTGTGGGTAACGAATGTGCCAGACTAAACGTTTCTTCATAATCAGTCATACCGTGACGTTTGCAAGTGTTATTTCCCAGCACAGTTACAAGTGTTGCTACATGTATAACTATATTTTTTTATCTCAATTTAAATTTTTTAAATCTTATTTCAATCTCAATAAACACTGATGCTTGCAGACAACTAATAACTACATTATTTAAGGGCATTATTTACGACATGGATAGGATCAAACTTATAATTCGTTTTTAATATTAAGATATTTTCTTTGAAATCTAAATTTTTATTTTCCTGAAATGGGTTTCTTATTAAACACTCTCTCGCCTGAACTTGCCGTGAGTGAGACAGAGAAAATGAAAACACATAAGCAGCAGCAAGGAAAAATCAGATGCTCAAGACATAATCTTTAAAATAATGACATACAGTATCAGAAAATGTGCAAATATATAACTGAGTTTTGTGATAAAATCGCAGTGAAGCATCCTTCAAATCCCAATTTTTTTAAGTAGTGGAGGGGCACAATCAAAAATATAATTTGTATAATTTTCTTGGATTGTAAAATGACTTTCATTTGCTATAATGTTTTACTTAATTTTAATGTGTCTTTTGTTGGTCAGTTATCTAAAAACAATAATAGCGAAAAACATTTGAGGTAATGCACTTCAAAACAAGTCCGATATGCACCAAAACACGAATTTCTGTGAGATAGTGTTGGTTTGTTAAATAAAATAATAATTTAGCCTAAATAAAATTAAAACAAAATATTTACAGTTTTAGAGAAGCCTATATTAAACTGTTTTCACTATTAATTACAACAGTAAAAGCTTTTACAATGTATTCGCAGCACTAAACATTCCCAGATTACCTCGGAAGCACAAACTCTGTTGCAAGGATGAGAAAACTCAGAAACACATTGGGAGAATGAAGATGTCTGCATATTTGTGCCAGTCTGTCAGATAAAATTGCTATCGACCTCTTAATATTTGAGATAATCTGACCTTATTCACCCATGACCCACCCATAAGTAAATATGCAGCCTATTTTTTGATTGCCTGACCGGCGCATTAACAGCAGCACCCGCTGAGATAACCAAGAAATGATGTGCTCCTATTGCACAGTCACCCATGTGACGGAACTCATCGTGAAGAGCGAGAAAAAATGTAAACATGCTAGACTTTCTGTGATGGTGTCTTGAGGCATTGCAGGCATGCCACATTACACAAGAAGAAACGATTGAATCTTGTGTCACGATGCCTATTTGTCATTTACGAATCCCCATGACACCCTACATGAAGAAAATCGTACCGAAATTTTGACAAATTTGTGTGATCTGACCGGGGCTTAAAACATATGCTGAAAAAGTTGGTGGTTAATTCCGCTGTGGCGACCCTTGATTAATAAAGGAACTAAGCCGAAGAGAATATGAATGATATATGCAAACTAAAGCAAACCTGCAGAATGTATAGAGTTTCATTTTGCTTAAAACGTGAGCATGTGTGTGTGTGTGTGTTTCAGCATCCATCCTGGTTTATCTGTACACTAAAGACCCATCAGCCTGTGACTGTGGCAGACATAAGTGCCACATGATGTCACGTCCTGCAAAGATAAGTGAGACAAAGCCAGTGAAAAATCACACCGTGGCTCCCGCATGTCTCAGGGCCACGAGAGGGCATTTACAGGAGGGACTGTGTGTATGTCACTGATGAGATGGAGATAAAGAGAGAGCTTCAACATACTCTTATTCATCACAAAGAGGCCTATTGTCTCTAGTCTCTATTCCTCAGTCTCTCACTTTCCGTAGGAAGGAATACAATGGGAATTTAGGTTTTAAAAAAAAAAACACTTAGACCCAGTGTCTTTTGATCCTCTGTCGTTCTGTCTTCATTGGCGTAAAATCACAGGATTACGTTAGTTGCAAGGTTGAATCGCGTTGAAGCGTGAATCTCAGAGCAGGTAAATCTGAAAGCTGCTCTCGTTGGGTGGGAGTGAAAACTGGAAAAGACAAAGATGGATCTGGGGCCAAATGGAGGTTGAAAAGTGGCCCCCGAGGAAGTGAGAAAAGAAGCATGTGTGTCTTGCAGGGCGAAAGCTGTTGTTTATATGCATGTGTATGTGTGTGTGTGTTGCAGCGAGCAATGCCAGACGAGCCCGTCGGTTGCCAGAAATCAACAGTGAACTGGCCAGACTCTTGCAAAGCAGCATGAGGGAAGTGGGCGGAGCCGAAGAGAAGGAAGTGCGCCAGAGGAAGATTGACAGAATGGCAGCTGTCCGTCAACTCGAGGAGCAGAAAGACGAGCCCCCTTTTCAGGACTACACAAACGTCACGGTAAGAAAGAAGGACATCTTTCTATCGAGCTCCATTGAATATCTGTCTGTCTCTGCAGGAGCTGAGTGACGTTCTCTACTGCTGCCCACCACGTGGTCTTGACATTCACTCCAAAGTCAATAGGGATAGTTCACTCAAGAAATCAGTCATTTACTCGCTGTCGTGACATTTCACAACCATTAGACCTTTTTTCTTTCAGGCATGAGTCATCCGAGACGTTTTTATGAACTTTATCGCTTGATTCTTTGAAAAGATTGGAAATCTCTTTTAGATCTAGTGTCTGGGTATGTGTAGTGTGTAATAATAACAATCAATGTTGCGCTCGTTCCTTTAAAAGAGTTATTCAAAGTTCATACGGTCATAAAAAACCTGGAAAAGTCATGGAATTCTGACATGACATTTTCCAGGCCTGGTAAAATTTTGGAAAAACAGAAAAACCCACAAAGTTTTGGAAAAATTATGGAAAACAAATATCTGTTTTCTGAAATATAGGTTACAGTGTTTCCTCTGGGATGTTTTCCAGCTGTGGCGGCAGGCCTTTTGCACAGATCTACCAACTACCTATGGCTTTATTTCAATGATAAATGTTTAGCATGTTTATGTAGTGAGTATTTCTTCATTTATTAGATTTACTAGGATTATTTATGAATGTCTCCAATTGACCTACAGAGTGGCATTAATGCGTCCTGAAGTAAAGTGAAACGGCTATAAACTCCAGCAAGATAAAGTCTTTGTTTGTTGTATGCAGAATCACAGACCTTTATCTGTAAATAATGTATAATCATGGAAAATGTGTTCATCGTAACTGAAAGCTATACGATGTGTTTGCTGTCCTCCTGTCAGTCAGCATGTCACCTCAAAGGGTTAAACAAACAACGCACAGCACTACTATGGTTACAGAAAAGTTCACGGTCATAATTCACTTACCTTTTAATACATTTTGGTGCGATTATAACCTGCTGTTTAAAAAAAAAAAAAGTCAATGTTTTGATTGAGAAGCTGTAATGTAGCCGTGGCGGGATGAATTTTGGTGTGGCGTCCTGCCATGGAAGAATAAGTGTAGCGGAAACCTTGGGTTAGTTGTCTTGACTTCCATTCTGTCCTTGGCACATTACATACTCTCACATTTTTAGTTTGGTGTAATCGTTGTCTAAATCATTTTTACATAGATATGAATAAAAATTGAAACTAAATAGACTGCTGCGTGTTTTACGTAATGCTGTAATAAATTTGAACATGCATTGTTTTTCTTTTACCATGCATATGTAGACATTGCATGAAGCATTAGGTCATGAAAATTTACTTCTTAGAAAAATCATGGAAAGTCATGGAATTTTTTAAAAAAAAATGTGCATGAACCCTGGTTATTAGTTATAGTTACTAGTTACTTCTCACAAATAGTTACTAAGTTAGTAACTGAGTTACATAATTATAAAAGTAAATAATTACAGAGGAAGTAATTTTTGCGTTACTTAAAAAAAAATCTTATTTGTCAAATGACTTTAAAATAAATATAAAACATTATAGACTAATCTACACTATTTTAATGTGGTTGTGGGACAATGTGAAAGACAATGGCAGCATGTTCTCAACTATATATCTAGATATTATTTTGTTTCATTTTGTCTGAGTAATAAGTAGGCCCACACGGAATCTGCCCAAGCAGAATTCAGCAGATTTTCCGCAGATTTTTTGCAGAATTCCGCAGATTTTTAGCCCATGATTAATTCTGTTTATTTACTTGAGTAAATGTGTAAATCTGAATTTATTCAGTTTTTATTCAGTAATTTATTACTTTTTATTTCATATATTAAGGTTTTAGTTATGATACTCCGCTGGATACTCCCAAAATAGAATTTTACCAAATCTCTCAGTTGAAATAGCAAAAAACGTCCGCAGATTCCGTCTGGCCCTGTGTTTACGGTGGAGAAAAGTTAATTTGTTTATTTGCTTTGACGTTGTGACTTCGTCTCCTCCTTTAGTAGCGGAGCTCACGTTATCACCTGCATAGCCACTTATTTAGTGGTGGCATGTGACAACCTGAGGTGCTTCATTAGACTAGAATTACTCGTCACAGATGCAGAGACTCTTCAGAGACTTTTTTCCTTGGCATAAGTTCCAGGATACATAAGCATTCCTGTCTTTTACCACAAGGAGGGAAAAATAGTGCTTATATTTCTAGCTTGCAAAGGTTACCTTTGAACTTGTTGGATTTGCCATCGTTCTGACGCCTGGTGGTTGGTGTGTGAACACCAGCACTATTCTGCCTCTGATTGGCAAAAGATGGAAAGATGGAATCTAAGCCATTCATCACATTCTCAGACAAACTAATCATCATCACTGGTTTATGTGTCCCGCTCCATCCCTGAACACACACACACAAACACACCCCAGAGAAAGAGAGTTCATGGCTGCCAGAGATGCTGCTGGCATGAAAACTGCTTCAGTGTTCTCAATTATTGTAAAGAACATTTTTTTTTAAATTTTCAGTAACAGTAGCGACGTTGTAACAGGGAACAGGAAACAGTAATTCAATTGATTAAAAGTATCGCTGTTAGTACTGCCGTTTATTTATGATGCCGTTATTCCCATCGCTGCTAATAATAATAAATATATATTCATAATTACTTTATTCACAAACAAATCCATTAAGAACTTGATTTTATGAACTTATTTAAAAGGTGCAGCTAAAAAGAGTTATTTGTTTACAAATTTTATATTATAAAGGTTTATTACTTATATGTTTTTAAAATATAAGTTATGTAAATCATGTAATCTTTCATGAATTTTCCTCATTCCAAGAAAAAAAAGACCCATCACAAATCTGAAATCTCTTCGATATATGCAGAGCACTAGAGCATTATTAGTGAATAATGAGTAAAGGGTTCATCTATTCCCCCCAGTAAAGACATTGTAGCCAAATATAGCACAGTGGTCATTTGAAACACTGTGTGGTGCTTCTATTTTTGTATTTTTAAAGCTTGACATCCACAGTCCAATTCCACCTCTGTTATATGGAAATGAATGCCCGTGATATTCTTCAGAAATGTAACTTTTATAGAAGTAATATGGCTTTCGATTATGTGTTAGGATGATTCAAATATTATAAGCATAAATATATATATATTTTTTTGCATGGTGATCTATTGTGTTCTGTTTAAAGCATGAGCTTCATTTCAGCTCCAAAGAGGAAACAGCTAAAATTGAGCTGCATTATTCACCAGTTCCTCCCACTCTGTGGGAATGATGAAATCGAACCTAAATTCTCTCTTTCTTTCACTCCACAGCCTGGCATGGTCTTTCCAGGCTTCAGGCACATCACTGTTATTAGTCTCTGTGTCTTTCTGGTACAGTTTCAAAATAAGTTTCTTTGGATACTTTCTTTCAGAGTCACCGGGCGGATCGAGTGCAGCATTTGCGAGACCTGCGTGTGATTGAGGCCTATCGTGAGCGCTGTAAAACACAGGAGATCACCAACATGCTCTCTCAGGCCATCACCACCAAACACACACTCTACGCCACCCTTGGTACGGCAGAGTTCTTCGAATTTGTGCTCAAGAACCCATTCAATGTTCCTCAGACAGTCACCATTGAATGTGATGACCCAGAGCTCAGGTGAGAAATATACTTTTGTTTGCTGTAAACTTTTCTGGCCAAGAATTCAAATAACACAAAGACATCTCTTTTCTTACAAGCTGTGTGAGCCTGTCATGTTTTGATCCATGTGAGTATTCTTGTAGATAAATAATGGTGCAAGGCCTTTGACTGATTGAACTGTATTAGAGCAACGGTCTGGCAGATTTTCTTTTTCAGGCTGGTTGTATTGTCGATATTGTGCTCAAAATAAAATGCTGAATCTACTGTCAAAGCAGGTCACTCTTACTGCTCACCTTAAGTGAAGTGAGCATCTAGATGCTGCCTGCGGACTTTAAAAGCAAACAGAATAATATGACTTGTTGTTGCTTTTTGTTGCCACACATCAGTGGGATCTGAACCATAAACAGGGTCCCCATGAGTCATCAACTTTCTGGAATATCAGGGAATTTTAAAAGGTGTATTTCAGTAAGTAAAGGAATTATTATTTACTCTTGGAGTGTTGGAATATTAGGAAATTTAGTTATTGTTAGTTTAAATTTAACTTTCCATTTATCAAAATGTAATTTTTTTGGACCACATTTTTTTTTGTTGTTGTTTCACATCCATTATGGTTTAGCTAGTTTTTAACTCCTTTTATTTCTCATTAAAATCATCAACTGGCAGTCGTTTAAATCAAATGTAAATCATCAGTATCTGTTGATTAAAGCTAACATGTCAGGATAATATACAATTTAAGAGCTTTGAATTAACAATATCAAAGTTTGGAAAAGTACAGTAGATGTCAGAGAAGCTAAGCATAAAGTTTGTAAAACTACCGTTAAGCCATCACACAAACAGTAGTTTTAATAAAAGTTCATTTTGAAAGCTGAGGTAAATTACTGTATCTATTGTTGTTCTCATAATGACTATTAATGTCATGCAAAAGGATTTTCAAACCAAACCTTTTGACGAAACCAAAACCACAACTTTGTAGTATTATGTTATTATTTCAACATATTATTTTGATAATATATTATTAATATAGAAGCACAACAGCCATCTGTTTTTCCATTCATTAAATTTCATGGAAATTTGGCATTTTAATCAGTGAAATCAGGGAAATTGATATTTGGCGCCCTGGATATATGAATTAATATCAAATATCAATCAATGAATTAATCTATATATATATAGACACATTTTATTATTTTTTTGCTGCTTTTATTACTATTACCATTAATATATATATATATATATATATATATATATATATATATATATATATATATATATATATATATATATATATATTTACATTGTCATTTAGCAGACGCTTTTATCCAAAGCGACTTATAAATGAAGACAATGAAGCAATTTACACAACTATATATATATATATATATATATATATATATATATATATATATATATATATATATATATATATATATATATAAATAAAGAAATTACTCCAAACTCTTGACCGGTAGTGTATGTGCCGAAAAATGTAGTTACAGTATCCATAACTAAAAGATACAGTACTCAGAACTACTGCTACAGAAATCCCAATTAATATTAATATGCACATACAGTAGAAAGCCTATTCTTTAATCACTCACAGCAGGCCCAACATCCAATCCATGCTCAAATAAATCCTTTGCCTCTGGCATTATGGCCCAGGAGAAAAAAAAATTATACACAGATCAATGCTCACTTCACGTGTGAACAGCCTTGTCTGAAATGAACATCTGAATGACTGAGTTTTCCTCGGCAGGGCGTTTCAGGGCCCAAGTGCTTCCCGGGGGGGGTGGAAAACAACACTAAATAACTAATCAATTCCTCCGATCAGCCTTATTTTAATTGCTGCATGATTTTAAACATCCATCCAGATTTCCTTGAGTAAAGCTCTAGACATCCAATCCATGATTATATCACATGGAATATGAGTTTTTCGCAGGCCACAGGCTGAGTCCACACACACCATATTGATAAACACGAGCCAAGAAAGTAAGAGAGAAACTAGAGGAAGAGGTGGAATACATTGCAGTATTAACACCCCTGCGTCTCTCAGCCTTTAATTAGAAAAGACATTAGTAGTCTAAATTACACACACACATACACACACTATGATTATGGACTGAATACACACACTTTAAAAGTTCTAGGAATGACAACCAAATTTAAACAGAGAAGCAGATCCCAAAATTATTATTCTGCATGTGTACAAAAACACAATTCAATCCTGAAATTGCAATGATAACCGTAGCATTGTTCTGCGTCTTATGCAATAGATTTAATCTGTTTTTGACTAAAGTAATATTACAGTGATGAGAGACTTGTTATGCTTGTTGATTTTAACTAAAGCAGTGCGGACAGAAGTGTTGTGTTTTGATTAAGTTTGGCATATTCTTGAAGTGTTGCCATGTCCACTTATTATAAATGGCACTTTTGAAGCATTGTTTGGCTTCAGTGCTTTAATTAAACAGTTATGTAAAGAGTTAATAAAGAGTTTGGGTTTACGTTTTTGGGTTGCGTGATTAATTGGAATGAAATCGAGATTGCAGTTAAAAAACAACAACAAAAAAAAAACAAACAAATAAAAAGAAACACGGCTCTGTGATCAGCAGTAAAAATCCTCTGAAAGCCAGAGGGCACTCTCACATGGAAACCACAAAGAAGATACATAGGAAATCAAATAGAGCAAAGGATTTAACTTATTTTTTTTATATACAGCAGGGTCAATTCAATTAGTTTGTTATAGAGGCCGGTTGTTTTTTTGCACTGCATACAAAAAAAAAAAAAAAAAAAAAACGATTGAGTGTTTTGTTTTTGCCTGACGTGAAATTGTGTTTGGGCTTGTTTTTTTGGGCTTGGCTCATTAAGTGATTAGTTTTGTAAAAGTAGCAATCTAGGCTCTTGAAAAACACGTCCTTGTAGTAACATTTTTACAGAATTGATCTTACATTGGTTTGTGGCGGTTTCAAATTGAAATGTCTATGCCAATGCTAACATGCTATTTTTCCAGAAACAGATGAATGTGGCCATGGCAAGTTTTTATTATGATAAAAGGCTTTTTGTGCTGGCCTTGTAGAAATGATTATTCACTAATGGATATTCTGCCAATAATCATAAATTGTGTGAAAAGAAATTAAAGTTATTGTACGGCTTCTAGTATTAATTTCACCTAAACCCCCCAGCAGTGTGTATGTATACATTAAGAACATTTTTGGAGTTGTATTTCCAGGTGTTAATTTGGTTGTTGCTCCTGTAAATAACTGAACTCTGTGCATACAGAATTAAGCAATAAAAGATTAATTGATTTAGCTACAGTGTGTACCTGGCCAAATATTCCCAACCATCTCTCTGTAAAATACATTTGCATGACGTTTGTCTTGCCAGCTTTTCATTGTGTTGAGGCATAAACCCGAAGCACTTTGTGATGTGTCATGGCAGTAACTGCAGCCGTGTGTTTGTCTGTGTGTGAATCCAAAGTGCTCGTGTATACACAGAGCTGTGCCAGGGAAGCAAATACCTGAGATCTGGAGTTTGCATTTGTATATTTGTGTTGAATTGATGCTTCTCTCTTTCAGTGCAAAGGATGTTTCAGACCTGTTTGTATAACCGATGTATGCCACAAAGCAAACCTTATAAAGTCACCTTTTTCTCTCTTACTTTTACTGAAGGCATTGATACTCAGCTGAACTCTCTCATTATATATGGACAAGCTGAAGCAGCAGAGCGGCAGGTTAAAGGATATGACAGATTTCAGCAGACGAGCACCATTCTTGCTGCCTAATTCAGTTTATCCTTACAGGTCAAGTCCTGAAGCTTGTAATCTGTTTCAGGTCTTCAATTGATATTTTTTTTCTTTCCTTTAGATTTAAAATATTTTATGGGAATAAATGTTCTGCATTAGGCATGGGATGATAACCATTTTTAAGGTATACCGCGATTTGGAAAAGTCAAGGTTTTAAATCCGCCAAAATGTTCTGCTTTACTGTTCCTTTGGTATATGTAAGATTTTTTATATATGTTTTTTTTTTTTTTTTAGTTTTTATTTGTTTGTTTGTTTTTTAGGACAACAGTTTCTCCAGCAGAAATGTGGAGCTTTAAATTGTAAAGAAATCTGTTTTTGAAACTAATGAAGAAAGCAGAAGTCAATGATTAATTTGAATTATTTAGCCTGTTTACTGTTTCAAAACATTTTATAAGTTTCTCTAAATAAAATATATCGTGTTCAAAGGGGAAAAAGTTTATGTTGCTTTCCCAGAAATTAAAAAAGAATTTAATTTAGAACAGTAATCACAATACAGTGAAACCGTGATTTTTTTGTCCTAGGTTATCATACTGTCAGAATCTTATACTGGCCCATGGCTATTCAGCATACAGCATTGCCAGTGCTTTAATGGACTAGATTAGACTTTAAAAGAGTAACACAAAGAACATAAGAACAAAATACCCGAAGTTTGGAGTCAGTATGTTTTTTTTTCTTTCCTTTTTATTTATTCATTCATTTATTTATTTATTGAACATACTTTTATTTAGCAAGAACACATTAAACTGATCAAAAGGGACTGTAATGACATTTATAATACTGTTTTTATGAACTGTGTTGCCACAAATTCTTCATAAATATTAAGTATCACTTCTCTGGTAATAAGGTATTTTTATTAAGAACTAAATCTGGTTAAAAGAAGGATCACATGAAACTGAACATTGAAGTAACGATTGCTGGAAATCAATCAACCCTACAGGGATTTTTCAATTTAATAAATGTAATTCAAATATATCATTAAAATATATTAAAGTGAAAAATGGTTTAAGATTATAATAACAGTTTACTGGTTTAAAAAAAGGGAAAGGCAATCAAGAATCTTTTTATTTTTTCAATATTTCAAGGTGATCCCTGAATGAATGAAGACACAAATGCTGAGTTTAGACTGCATGATTTTAGCCCTGATTTTGACTTGCCGACAGGTTTTGAGAAATCACAGACAATAACACACTATGAACTATCAAAGGCGCTATCTGAGAGAATCGCAGAGAGAGATATTTGGAATGCTAAATATCTGGACATGTCAGCAATTCAAGTCATGCCGTGAGAGTGTAAAATGTGTTCTGATTGACAATAACATTGGCAATCACCTACAGCCTATGAGAGAGCAGCATCCGATAATATGAGTATCTGCAGGCCAGCGGGAGGATGGGGGAGAAGTTAACAGTCTATTTAAACCCAAGAAATGGAGAAAGAAGCTAGTGTAAATTTGGCAAGAGCAACCGTGTCTGTTTGACGTGTCATCTGAGCAATACCACAACCAGATCAAAAAAAAAATTGAGGAAATTGCTAACTCTCTTCAAAGGCAATAAGTACATTTTCTACATCACTAAAGGCTTCTTTTCTTATTATGTAGTTAATCACAAAAGATATACTACGTAACTCTGCATTGTTTCCATGTCACTTCTCGTGTGTTTGGTTGAGACGTAGTTTGCAGACCGAGACAAAGCTGTCAGCGATTTTTCCTGTTCTAAAGTCTGAAACCCGCTGTCACCCCATCTGTGACATGACTAAAATCATGCAGTCTGAACTAAGCATAAGCCAAAGGAAATGACCTAATGAATCTTACCAAACCCAAACTTTTAAACAATAGTATACATTTTATTGCTTTCACATGCATGAATAAGTTAATATTACAGCAGCATATTGCTAAATGAATCTCTCCACCATTCTGTGATGTTGTAAATGCAGACAGGATCACAGAATCAAGCCATACAAATGGAATTATAAAGTGGGATGTCACAGTAAAACACTGTAAAACTCAACAGTCAACTTTATTAAATGAAAGGAGTGTAGTTAACTCAAAATTGACTGAAAGTTATTTCTGCTCATTTGAAAAAAGTTTTGAACTTAGTGCTGAAGGTAATGAGTTAAGGAAATACTTCATAATTTTAGCTTAAGTGGAGTAAGTTCACAGTACTCATATAGATTAGTTTTTTGTTTTTTTTTACTTAAATGGTTTGTAATTAATTTCCTGAAATGATTTGAGTTGCCTTAACTTATAGGGTTTTACAGTACTAGAGTTTGAGTTTTCTTCATTTATTGGGCTTTACTGTGCTTAAATTACTTTGTTTACTCAAGTGGATTCAGTTCACAGTACTATTTAGGATTAGTTTTTAAACTTAAATGATTTGTTGCAATCGGTTTCCTCTAACGATTGTCTTAAATTTTGTGTTTTACAGTGTAATAATGCAAAAAAAAAAAAAAAAAGAAACACAAAATCCAAAAAATGAGAAATGTCTTCCAGAAAACAATATTTTGGGTAAAAAAAGTAAACAAAGAGATTTCATAGATGCATTTCTTTAACATTAGCTTTGAGCAATGATGAAAAGAGAAAGATAAACATGAAATAATATAATCCAAACATTTAGAAATTAATATGTAAACTTATCATAGGCCTTGTTTGTTTGTCCACCTTCTGTTAGCTAGAGTGAGCTATCTCTTATATTTTAATAGAAGAAATGTCTGCCAAAATCTATTTTCTATTTAGCCCTGATAACATTTTAATTTCATTTTTTTCTCTTTATCACTTTTTTTTAACCTGCGCTTTCCATTAACCTTTTAAAAGAGCTCCATACATATGTGAGTCTATATGAAAGAGAGGGAAATGGGCTCCGCTTTTGTTCACATAAGTACACTTCACTTTGTTCCACCTGCCCGGCTCTGTGTGTTATTAAAGAAAGAATGTGATCGAATTTTCCGAGACTTGGTTTCACATCTACTGTAACGCATGCAGTACAAAAGACTTTTTACACCTCGAAATTCATATTTTTTTCCATTTATGGAGAATGATCCCTTCTTGGGGCCCGGAGGTGCTGCTTTTGATGTTTCAAATGCCCTTTTCCTTCATATATTTGTGCATGAAATTTGTCTCTATGAAACAGAAAGTAATATTTCACAGCCAGTGTGTGTTATCTTTAAAGCGTAGCCTCCAAGGAGTTTGAGTTGTGCGAGGGCTTATGTTCGACTGTATCATGCATACTCAAATACGCTCTTTTTCCATTGCCAATAAAATACTGCTGGCAAGGCAAAGAAAGTCCTCAAGCTGTTCTTTTCTTTTCCTCTCTGTTTTTCATCTCTTTATCCCTCAGTGTACTGGTGAAGAGCGAAGAGTGGAGATATTTTAAGGAGTTGACGAAGACTCTGACTCCTCTAGAGGAGGAGATGTTTCACCTGAAGGAGAAAACACTGACTCCTCAAGTTTACCTGCGGCCAAAAGAAAGCGTTCACGTTCCCTTCAAGTACCAGACCTTCGTTTGTGGTCACAGCTTTCCTCTTCAGGTAAATCTAAAACTCTTAGATACAGTATATGTTTAATGTTCTGTTGTTTAGTTATTTTTGTCTATTTAAAATTCACCTTTCAGCCTAAAATGTGTACAAAATGAGTTTAAAAAAATTCAGGGTTGCAGAACAAGTTGGCGGTTGACAAAATACACACAAGTCCAACCAGGTTAAGATCAGATTCAGTGGTTTTACATGACTTGATATAAACTTTTAACTTTTAAAAGAGCTTTTTAACTTTGATTAAATCTGCACTGCATCAGCATGATTCTTTTTTTTTTTTAAGACTGAGAGACCTTGTTATAAATATAATGAATTTACATGCATTTACCAAGGAGATGAAATACCATTGTTTCACAGGGATGGGTTGCGACTGAAAGGGTTTAAAATGTGCTGGATAAGTTGCCAATTCATTCTGCTGCGGCGACCCTGGTATAATAAAGGGACTAAGCCGAAAAGAAAATGAATGAATGAATGAAACACTGTTGGTGCAGCAAAAGTTTAAGTAGGAATTTAAAAGAAAATTGTATTATATTAATGTTAACAGATTTCAATAGTAGGATCACAAAGGGCTCAAAAGACATCAAAAGTCTTTTTTAAGCTTTGTATATTAAAGCAAATTTAGTTGTAAATGATTAAATTTAAAGCTAAAATTGATATTGGCAGTTTTATATGGAGGAACAGGAGTGCTGGTTAGAAATAAAATAAAGAATCGAATTATCAGTTTAATAATTGAAGCATTAAAATGTGTATAAATAAACCACAATTTTTTACGAAAATTAATGGACAAATAAATAGACGTATTTATATTTATATAGATATTTAAATTTGTTTATTTAAATTGCGCTTTGAATGTCATTTAATAAAGCAATAAAACAATGCATTTAAAATCATTTTAAATGTATAAATAAATAGACAATTTTATAAATGTTTATTTAGTTTAATTTAATCAAACTTAATCTGATTAATCAAACAATAAAAACGTACATTTATAGATCATTTAAAATGCATTTAAATGCACAATTTAAATAGTTTTTTAAAAGGCATTTGACATGCTTTTCTTTCTCTGTTTGCCACTGGCTTATTTTTCCTTTTGCTGCATGCTTTTCTAGAGTTGAAAATAAATTGAGTTAAAAAAAATCCATTGGACAGTCCACATGTGGAAGCAACCATCAGCTTTCGTCTCAAGTCCAGCTAAACCCTCTTTTGCTTGCGAATGAAACGCGTACTGTCATTGGACAGAAACAAAACCCTAGCTCATTTTAGCTGTAATTTAAAAGTCAGTGAAGACCGGCACTCCTGGTCCTCCATTGATTTAAACTATTTATAAATTATAAATAATTGCAATTCACTAATGTCAATAGTTATCACCACAAATTAAGATTTATACTTTTTAAATCTTAAAAAGAATTTTAGATCGTATAGTCTTTTTTTTCAGTGGCCGCTGGTCCTTTAAATTTATTTATTTTATAGTTTTCTTCTTTAAAAAATAAAAAAAGTTTAAAAAGTTTAAAAGCTTTGAATTCAGATTTGATAGAATGCCATATGTTGGTCATGTCACAATAAACAACAATGAAAAAACAGTCTGACACACCCAATGCCTGGTATCTTTTTACAGACAGCTAAAGTTTTCCCATAGCAAGTCAATTTGTGAGGTAAAAAATAATATATATTTATATAAAATACTGTGTATGAAATAACAAATTTTACAAATAAAACAAAAACAAGTAACAGAAGCACAGCACTGTTTTGCTTGATTTTTGACAAATCTTAATACAAATCAGACTTACTTAAGCTCTTCCTGAGCATGACAATTAGTTTTTTTTATTGTGCTGAATAAAAAGTGTATGTATACAACTATTGTTTTTTTTTGACATATTGTTTAAACAGGATGTCCCTGGGGTCTTGTCAATGTGGGGAAATTTAAGGCCCCTAAAAAGTCTTAAAAGCTGTTTTGCAAGGTATTCAATTGTATAGCATTTTGATTATGCAATGTATGGTTGTATTCTAAAGTTTGCCTGAATTAAATCTGTGAATATCAGGATGTTGTGTAGTTTATGAAATCAATAAAATCCTGCTAGATTTGACATCATGCTGCTTTGTTCACTGCAGTAACCAAGGCAATACCATTATTTCTGCAGTTCTATAGGCGCCAATCTGCTGAATTAGTTTGATTTAATAGATTTTTATTTAGTATATGAATAATGTTTCAGTTTTGGATTGGTTTCTTACATTAATATTTAGTAAATACACGGCAAGTTAACATCTCACCAGTGTTTCCGGTTGAAACCTAAAGTAGATTTAAGGTCTTAAAATGTATGGAAAGAATCTTAAAAAAGGTCTTAAAAGATATAGAATTTCTCTCTTTGAGTCCTGTATATATATATATATATATATATATATATATATATATATATATATATATATATATATATATATATATATATATATATATATATATATATATATCCTGTTAAAATATGTGGCTGAGAAAGAACTATTTAACATTTTTGGTGGGGTCGGAGAAAATTATGGCAGGTCAAGTAAAAACTTGTTCGACAGGACCAGGAGAAAAAATCATTAGGATTGAGCCCTCTTCATTGCAGATTCAGTGGTCTTACGTTTCATATACTGTAATTTGGATTGAAAAAGTCTTACATTTAACTTGTTCAATTTTGTAGACACCCTAATACAAAACAGCCCAAGGCAGACAAAAATGTCTAGACAGGCTAGAACTGGAGTGAATCTTCTCCTCAAAATAATGAACACACAAACTGTCCACTAATCTGCTGATGCTGAGAAACAACATCATCAGGAGAAAATGTGGACTGTTGGATTGCTTTTGTGTGCTCCAGTACAGTGTAATTCAACCATGAATGATGTGTCACCTCTGAGAAACTACATTTGTTTCCTCATTTCCTTTTCCCACTGATGAGACTTGGATTAGTTCACATGTTTCCGCTTTAATTGGATTTGGGTTTGTTTATAGTCTGTAGTATAACAGAGGCACCCAGAAGTGAAGGAGGGAGTTTAAAATGACTTGAAGCATCAGCAATAATGAAATGGATTAAAAACAGCCTCATGAACAGACCTGTCCAAACAATGTTTTCCCATCCCTTAATGACATTATTTCAATGGGATTGCTTCTCCTCCTGAATGCCGCACTGTTTATAATGAATGACTCCCCTGTCATATTGCAGGACTCAAAAAGCTTAAAGATTTCAAGAAGTCCACAGATGGCTCAGAAACATCTGTCCAATACAATCCAAGCCAAATCCATCAAGGTAAGAGCTTAGCACTCGCTGTACTGCTGAGCACACACAGAAACTCAGATTCTTTCTATACCACCTGATTAGTAGATTTGGAGTTGAAGAAGTAGCCGACAAAGTGAAACATGACTAAAACTGATGCAAGAGCCAAACTGATGTTGGGTATTTTTGTTCTGCTGTATGTATTTTTAGGCAAGTACTGTAAAATCCCTGCCTACTCGATTATGTTAATATTGAACTCTCCAAATGGTTTTCATAGAGGAACCTGCTCAGCTGAAACACTGAGCTGATTCTTGATCACATTGAGTTACACCATCTATAAGTTTGACCTTTTAAATCTGTGTTTGAGATTTGACTGGGAGAAATGCATTTCATTGGAGCCTGCCGTTAATGTTAGAACTGATTAATTTCAGTGTTTTATATTCATAAGTCTGTTAATGAGAAACATTGATCAACTGGCCTGTTGGTATTCATTCATTTTTCATAATCTGCAGGTGCACAGATTTACAGGTGCAGACAAATGTCCTGTTATTCTTACATGTGTTCTAACTGTGATTTTTATGTGCCCTTCAAATCTCTTTAGAGACTCAAATAAATCGACTCAAATGGATGAACAAATAATATTGACAAAACACATGATAAATAAAATTTAGAATAAAAAAATGAAAAAAATACAAATGAAAACTAATTAAATGTATCAAATTTTACCAATATATTTTCTCAATAATACTGAAATAGTAAAAAAGTTTTAAAATTGCATTTATTTTCATAATGACAAAGCTGAATTTTGTGCCACATGATCCTTCAGAAATCATTTTAATATGCTGAGTATATTATATTGCAATACACCTCTTTCAACCGCGTCAGGGCCGGCCAAGTGAACCGTGCCTGAGCCCGATTCAGCGCACTCACTCTTCTTAAACGATCCGGGAAACGGGCCTGGACATGGTACGGATAGCATAGTGTGAGTAGGCCCTGAGTGATTGTCAACTGTGGCAGAGGTGATGAGTACAAACTTCGGGGAGTTGTAGTTCATATCGTGTCAGAATTGTAGTACAGGTGATAATGCATGTTTTCCAGTGATCTGCAAAGCCTAGCTCGCTGGTAATCTTGACAGTCACATTATAAGTAATATTATGAGTATTGTTGAATTTTATATGATATTATGTTGTATTATATTATATTATATTATATTATATTATATTATATTATATTATATTACATTATGTTGTATTATATTATATTATATTATATTATATTAAACTCATCCTAAAAAAAGGAAAAATCATCAAAGTTGACTTTTACCCTAACCCTAGCCCTTCATTTTGACATATCTCTACATGTCTACTAGGGTTGGACGGTTTACCGGTAGAATCGCGATACTATGGCTTCTAAATACTGGCGGTGCCATTGTACTTTGTAAATGGTAGTTTCATCATTAATGGTCCATCTACAATACATAATGTTGCATGTGGAAAAGTCACTAAAATGCTCACATGTTTTTGCAACAATAGACAATTTAATTTGAATAATCTGTGGAGCCCTTAAAAGGTTGCAAAAAGTTGTGTAGAATTCATGCCTTTTATGGTAGCCAATTGCAGGTCTTATGATACTTCAGTTGGAATGCACATCTGAATCAGTTCATTTCTGTTCCTGTCAATATGAATTGATATGATTTGAATATGATCAATATTGTCAATATTGAATATGATATGAATTGCTTTAGATTCTTACCTGATGAGAAAAATAAAATTATAAATAAATAAATAAATAAATAAATAAATAAATAAATAAATAAATAGATGAAAAACCCAAAAGAGGAAATATCGACCACTTCATATAGCCAAATTTTGTTGTAAAAAATGCTCTTTTTGTAACAAATGTCATTTGGTATAATTTGTCTCTTTTTTATGTTTTTGCTGGTCAGTTATCTACAAAATAACAAAAAGAACTAATGCAATTCAGGTGAAGTGATGTGCAAATATTTTTCATTAATAAGGCAATTATAAATTCAATTCAAGTAGACCTATCATAACATATAAAATATAGTATTTCTGATCATTTTCTTTATTTCAAAGATTTGAGTTCTGAAATACAGTATCGCAGTACTACTTGGTATCATGATACTTTAGCTGGTATAGCATCGTAGTGTGAATTAATTGTATCGATGACAACCCTAATGTCTACATGTTTATGCATATTCCAGATAGACGGTAAAAGTTTGTGTTAGCTCATGCAGTCTCGATCAGATGGTTAAGCTGAGTAGGAGTCTCTGTGTGCAGTTCTATGGCACTGTGCTTGATTGTGCCTTTGGGCTCTTTCTGCCATATGTAGCCCAGAGAGAGACTGATGCCTTGCAGTATTGCTGACACACACACAGCTCTTGTATCATTTTAGTTCAGTTGGGGTCAAGCATTGCTGTGCACAAACTGACATCACCTCCAGAGGAGTGTCAATGGCTTGTCTTAGGCTGTGAATCGACTGTATCTGACGCAAGACAGAGACAGAAAGAGGTTACTCTTTTAGATTGGAGATGACTCACGATACTTCATATAGCACTTCATAAAGTCAATGTGGAATGATTTCAGATAATGCTGTCGTTTATTGGTTGACTTTGAGTGTCTCTGCTGAGAAGACCAGACTAGACCATCATACTTCAATGCTTTGAAAACCAACTATGAAATTAATTCAGAATACAATAATGCTGTTATTAAGCTCAGGTCAGTTCAATGTTGATTGAGATCAGTTCAATAAGTGTGTGATGTGATAAAGTTGGTCAGTTATGAAACATAATTAGCTATAGGTATTAGGGAAGCTGTAGAGAAGACAATAGTGAGCAATGTGTTGATTCATTTAAGTTCAGTAAGGGTTGATTATTATACAATTTAATTATGAAATTAAGTCAAAAAGCATTTGAATAGTAGGGAATAGTTTTGTTAACTCAGAAAAAAAAAACAACCCTGAAAATGAAAAGTGTTTATCCCTGCTAAAGATGAATGTCGATTCAGTTTATTTCGATAAGTGATGTCATAACAAAACTGGTCAATTATGAAGTAAATTCAGCTAAAAGGCTCTACGCTAAAACTACATAAAGCAATTTTTTAGTAATACAATTATCGTTTAATGTTGATTCAACTAAGTTTAATGAGCATTGATGATGAAGACAAAATTTTATAATTGCTATACTCAATTTTATATTCAAAATTCAGCTAAAAACAAATATTTTTTGTTAAGTAAAATATTAATTCAGTTCAATTAAATTACAATGTTGATATTACAAAATTTGCCTATTATTAAAAAATTCAGCTCTACAAAACGCAAGTGTGGTGTTTCAGCTCAAGTCTGCTAGATGTTGATTTAGTTCAGTGTCAATATTACAAAAGTCATCGATTATTGAACGGATTTAGCCAAAAGTGTCCTCCTCTGATGTAAATCAGTTCAGTTTTAATTCAGATCTGTTCAGCAACATAGATATTGCTGGGAAACAAAGCTAGAAGCAGTCCCACCAATGGCAATAGTGTTGTTATTCATCTTGAATTGGTTAAATGTTGATTCAGTTTGGTCAATGTTCTAAAATTTGTAAATTATGCACAAACTTCAAATATCTATTAAAAATGAAAATATCTTATTTTAAACCATCCAGGATACGATATGCCATAGATATCTATTACGAGTGCATTGTTGCACTTGCAATTTTGTTTTCACAAACTATGGAAGAAGTCAACTTTATAGGCAGCGATAATCCATTATGTTGCTAATGTGGTTAGTATATTTGAGTTTAACTCACTGTGAATCCAGAATACTGCTTTATTTTCCAGTTTTGTCAATAGTTTTGCTTCTCCCGTTAGCATTTTGGCAGGCCATTTGAAGCTTGTTGTGCTTGTCTTCCAGGTGTTGTTTCGTGGTGAGGACAGAAAGCCTCTGGCGATCTGCCAGGTGGATGTTGAACCAACGCCACATGTGGTGGACCAGACCTTCCGCTTCTACCAGCCTGAGCTCACCTTCTTAAAGAAGGCCATTCGCCTGCCTGCAGCCTGGGACGACACAGCAGGTGCTGCTCATTACAAACATACACACACACACACAAACAAACACAAGCTTCAGTGTCTGCTGTTAGTCCTGAACTAAAGACCTCATTTGTGCTCTGTCTCTTTTTGCACTTGCTCACAGATGGATCTGCCAGCCTCCATGTGCACTGCAGTGACCCCAATGTCATCTGCCACACCACCAGCCTGGTGAGCCAATCACGACACACTTCTAATAGCAGCCAGCCAATCGGAATGAGAATAAGTTGTTAATTAGAGTCTGATGCTTTCTGATGAGTCATTGTGAAGTCAGTGGTGGACAGTTACTTGTTATAGATGATTATTTATGATTATTTTTCAATTTTTAAGATTAATATTTTTAGTGTCATGTTTTTTTTTTACTTAAGTACTAGTACTTTTTTTATTAAATATATTTATTATGAAATATAGTAAAACATCATAAAACATAATTCTATGTTTTTTCCCCATAAAATGCTGTTATTTCTATATTTTAACACAGGATTCTACTAGTATCTTTTCCAATGTTCAATAACGACATATGTGAAATATATATTTTTCATATAAAATTCATATTTTGGTGATAATATTTAATTTTATTTGTTCCAATAAATTATTTTTATTTTTCATAATTTTTATTTATTTATAGTTGTTCATATTCTTTGTATCTAATTTTTGTTTCAAACTTATAACTAGTTATTATTTACTGATTAAACATAATTGTTTTTAATTAATTTTTATGTGTTTTGAAACTTCAGACTCCAGGAGAACCACAGGATGTTTACCTGAAAGTACCTGGAAGCCCAAGTCCACAGATTAGAAAGTTCTTCATCACCATTTTTACGTACGTACCCCACCGTTTTCACCTTCTCGCTTGTGTGTGTAGTCATAAAGTTCACCCGTCAGTTTTTTCACAGGAAAGTGAGAAGCTGTTAATTTTCACTCTTTTCGATGCACAGTGAGGTGTGTGTGTGTGTGTGTGTGTGTGTGTGTGTGTGTGTGTGTGTGTGTGTGTATATGTATGTGTGTGTGTGTGTGTGTGTGTGTGTGTGTGTGTGTGTGTGTGTGTGTGTGTGAAATCCTTGTCCCTGATTAATCCCTTCATGTGTGATTAATGGCATTTGCTTAATCAGGATGTCTCATTTACTGTCTGATTGCATCAGATCATAATATTCATTTATTCATCAAAATCCACGACATCTCTGAGTTCATAATCAGTGAACATGAATAAAAACACCATTTTAGAACCTGCACATCATCCTCTCTTACTGGAACTGAAATCAATGAGACAGACAGAAATCATAGCAAAGCATATTGAAGGCCACAGTTCACTATTCTCATACTGTAATATTATCTTGATCAATAGACATTGTCAGTGTATACAAGTAAATCTTGATCAATGGATTGAATAACATACTTGATAAACAACATGCTCAAATACTTTGTCGATGCTGTTTAACTATTCCATGAATATTAATTAAATATTTATATATTTTTAGAAAATAGTTGCATGGTTTCTATTTTGAACGTTTGGTTAATATACTATAATATATTAGGGTTAGGGTTAGGCTAGTATTAAATAGGCAAGTCGTTTATTTATATAGCCCATTTCATACTCAATGGTAATTCAACATACTTTACATAAAAAAGAATAAAGGAAACAAAAAAATAAAAACAACAAAGAATGATATTTAATAAAAATAAGATAAAACAGGTTAAAATGTGTTAAAACAGAATGAAAAAGAAAAGAACAACATAATAGTGTGATCTGTCACACAAATATAATATCATAAAATAATGTCAAATAAAATAAAATATAATATTTTTCAAATATAATATCTTATAATATTTTCTAAACACTCTCCATCTTCCATTGGTCGTCATGCCACATCAAACACATCATTGGTTGATTTTTCGGCCTGGTTAAGATTCTCAAGCAGTTAAAGTACTGTAGTGTGTAGACTTTTTTTATTATTTAAATAACTTGCCATGGAGGTGCAGAGCTTTTTAACATCAGACACTTTCACAAATAATTCTTAATTGAATCTTACAAAAATGAAAATGTAGTTTGTCAGTTGAACAAATGTGTTGATGTCCATTATAATTAGCAAGCTTGTAATGGATTTAATGGTCTAAATGACTCAACAGCAGACAAGCTCATCAGACACAGTAACACGGAGCAGAAGCTTTTTTTTTTTGCAATTAACATTTACCAGGAAATCCATCAACAACGACAACAGCTAATATACAGTCTAAGTAATGTTTATATGTGATATTTATACAAGATTTTATTGAATATATTAATATTTTAGACATAATATTGTCTGTATTTCCTTTTTTTCCCAACTGCCTCAAATCAACACACAGCTGTTTCATTGAATCAGTGATTCATTGAATTGTTTTTAAAGAGAGCCATTTGCCTCAGTCCTGAATGAATCAGCCATTAGAACTAATCAAATGAATTCATGAATGACTGCAAGAATAAATGACTTAAATGGTTAGCTCACCCAAAAATTAAATTATGTCTATAATTTCTCACCATTATGTTGTTCCAAACCTTGGTTGATCTTCGGTACACACATTAGGATATTTTAGATGAAATCTGATAGCTCCCTAACTCTCCGTAGACAGCAATGACCTTGACTTGTTCAAAGGTCACCAAAAAACACATATAAAACAGACCATATTTATTCAATGATATATGGAATATAATGAAGCTACAAGAATACTTTTGTGCAAAAATAACAACTTTATTTAGCAATTTCTTCTTCTCAGTGTCAGTATATGGCACATGAGCGATGTGCACTCATGTATATATCAGACACTTTCTTTTGAGGTAGGGTGCTCGATTACGGGAAAAATCATAGTCACAATTATTTCGTCATAATTGTAATCACGATTATTCAAAATAATAGTTGTAGTCAGAATTATTTGCCCTCCTGTATTTTATTTATTTATTTTTTAAGAAACATTTCCCAAATTATGTTTTAACAGAGCAAATAATTTTCACAGTATTTCCTATACTATTTTTTCTTCTGGAGAAAGTCTTATTTGTTTTATTTTTGGCTAGAATAAAAGCTGTTTTAAATATTTTTAAACTTATTTTAAGGTCAAAATTAGTCCCCTTAATCCCCTAATTACCCTAATTAAGCCTTTGTATTGCACTTTAAGCTGAATGCTAGTATCCTGAAACATCTAGTAAAATACTGTGCTGTCATCATAGCAAGGATAAAATAAATAAGTTATTAGAAATGAGTTATTAAATCTATTATGTTTAGAAATGGGTTGAAAAAAAATCTTTCTTCCGTTAAGCAGAAATTGGGGGGAAAGGGCCTCTAATAATTCAGGAGGGCTAATAAATCTGATTTCAACTGTATATATAGTTATTTCTCCCTGTAAATAAGAAAAGTACAAAAAATAAATACAGTAAAATAAAAATATGAAACAAACTGAAACAAACTTTAAGCATCTTAATTGTAAGAAAAAAAATTATAGCTACAAAAGTTCTTCAGTCAAGAGTAGTAAGTGATGTTCTCCGTTTGATTAATGATAAAAACAGTCGGCAGCAGGAATATTGTGCGCTGTCACTTTAAGAGCAGTATGGTTCTGATTTATGGTTTCACTTTCACATCTCTTTGGATTCTCGACTCAATTGTTTATTACATAAATGAGGGTTTATAGGAATAATCACTAAACACTGTGTTTTGACACAAATTTGCATGTATTTGACCCTTAAAGAGCTCATATTAAGATGATTTTAGATGTGTGTGCTTTGCTCTTATCTAAGGCTGAGCGCGCACACACACAACAGCTTGCAATCTCTTTTGCACTTTTAAGAACATGATCGGTATTTACATTAATGAATGATGCGCATCCCGTGCTGCAAAAGTTACATTGCAATACATGCTTTTAGTAGTTTACACATAAAACTGAGCAGAGCAACAAATGTGTAGAACTGGAAAGGGGGTGGCATGATGCAACAATCGCTTTATCTTGGTTCAGGTTTTTTCATAATTATTAGAAGCCAAAATCGAAATTGAAACTGAATTTTTGAATTAATTGCACACAGCTAATCTAAGGTATACTGTATGTCTGCAGCGTGATCAAGTGCACTGGCATAAAGAGTGCTCTCACCCTATACTGACACTGAGAAGAAACTCTTAAATAATGTAATTATTTTTTGTGTAATGTCCCCACAAATGTATTCTCGTAGTTTCATAAAATTGTTTGAGGCCATTACTGTCTATGGAGGATAAGAGAGTTTTCAGATTTCATTTAAAATATCTTAATTTGCATTCAAAAAATGAACAAAGACAAGAGTTTTACCACCCATGGCACCCAACTGGCAGTTTTAGTTTTCTATTTAAATGATTAAAAAAATAAATAAATGGACTGCTCACCAACATGTTTGTTATTATGTATTTAGCCTTATGTTTTTACAAACCTACTCAACTTTATTTTACAGAGCATAACAGACGCATTGAAGAATGTTGTTATCCAAATAATCAAAAAACTAGGGTAACACTTTATTTTGATGGTCCATTTCAGTATTAGTAGATTTTCTGCTTAATTGATGCTGCTTGATACTACCCCTTCAACAGATATTTAACTGACTATAAGAAACTTTGAATGTACATGTCAACTTTGACTAACCCTAACCCCAATCTAACAGTCTACTTATAATCTAATGAGAATTAGTTGCAATGTAACTTAAATTCAGCAAACGGATCATTAAAATAAAGTGTGACCAAAACAATAAATGTTTTTCAAATTATCTTCACCGAAAACACATATTTTGAAGCAGTTCTATTTATTTTGTGATAAGATACTATGTACTGGATGTTTGGAGTGTGAGTGTGTGCAGTTTATCAAATTTATAGTGAAATTCAGTTTACCTTATTTTTGCTCATGAACTGAAAAACCCATTATAAAAACCCATAGGAAAATCTTGAGGGAACCAGTGGTGAAATAGTCTTCCAGATTTTATAATCACAGCGGCAGCACTCTTGAAGTGCCATACTATGTACACATCATCTTGACAAATTAACCTACAAAACTACTTTAATGTTGATGTGAAGATTTTTAACATCAAACACTTCAGCTTTAAAGAAATAAATAAATCTGCCTGCTTTCTTGTTGTTTCCTTTTAATCTTATGAAAATGTAGAGTTTGTCAGTGGAACAAATGCATCGGCATCCACTTAATTAGTGAGCTCGTAATGAACTTAATGGTTTAAAATGATTGAACAGCAAACAAGCTCATCAGACACACAGCAACCCATCAAAACGGAGGTTTGGGCAATTATAATAACTAGAAGATCAATCAGCCATAGTTTTTTTTTTCTTCTTCTCTTCAACAACAGCTGCTGTTAAGGGCAGCTCAGCCGCCAAGGACAGTACAAACGTTCTTCAAACCGTGTCCCCTGAGCTGGAGACCCCTCAGGCAGGGTGAAGAGCTCACACACAAAGACCTTCATTTTTAATACAGTCAAACTCTCGAATCCCCAGCAGGCAGAATGACATCAGCATCTCCAAAGCTCCTGTGGGCACACGACTGCCCACTGGCACCTTAAAGCAAGACACTGCAGGCAAAGAGGGGCAAAAAATAACTAATATTTATCACCATACTTCTCCAGCTGATTGATTACATAAAGAAATGCTAACTTTTTTTGCATTCCAAGTTGTGCTATTTATTATTTATATTATTTATCCCCTACAGGTGAATAAGTGCAATAAAAAACATTGCTAAAAATATTCATCACCACACTTCCCCAGTTGATTGCTTAATTGTTTTTGCATTTCAAGCTTCCTAAAATGTTATTTATTCGCTACAGGTGAATGGGGGCTACACAATGCTAAAAATATGTGTCCCCAAACTTCCCCAGCTGATTGCTAAAGGTTTTTTGCGTTACAAGTTTCTAAGTGGATTCTATATTATTTAATTAAATATGCTCTAATTTAAATACATTTCTAATCTAAACATTGGATGAAGTCCAATCAAAAATTTGTGTTGCTTTTTCTCATACACTTGAAAAAGAGATCAGTCACTTAAAATGGTTAATAAACCTATTGCCTTAAAAGCAACAAGTTGCCTTAAATGTGAGTAAACCCGTTATATCAGGAAAGTTGTCTAAGTTGACTTAATTTTTATAATTATGCACATTTTTACTTACTTTTTGTTAAGAAAAGCCAACTAATCACATTAAAAGCAACAGGTTTACTCCCTTATTATATTTCCTTTTAAAGGGGTGGTCTACTACGATATCATATTTTAAACTTTAGTTGATGTTTAATTTAGCTGTGTGAACATAAACAACATCTCTGAATGTAAGACAAAGTTCAATGCAAAGGGAGACATTTTCTTTTAGAGAGTTAGCTTAGCAAAGCCTACAATAAACACATTTTTGGGACTACAAAAAAATACTTCCGGGCCTTGTGAGATCACAAACGTACTTTTATCGTGCACAAACACTGAGCAGCTAAGGGGCGTGGCCAGAGACGCTGTAATGTTACAGCAGAGGGAGCTAAAACCATTAAACTACATATTAAACCTTTTTAACATTATTAAATGTACATGCTGAATCACTGATATGTGTTGGTTTGCACTAATTCACAGTTATAAAGTTCAAGATCTGAGGTGAACTATCTGCTGCTACTTTCAGTAGTATGGCAATAAATGTCATGTAAAATGGCAATCAAACTCACATTATTAGCATTTAACACTGAATAAAGCACATGAGGTGTACCTGAGGCTTTCATTGTCATAGTTTTTTAGCTGCAAGAAAAAGAAGCCATATATAAAGTATAAATTTGAGGTGTTGGCTAGAACAAAAACTCCTCTTAATATGGAAAATATTCCTTCTATTGCATGCCGTTGCTTTTATTTAGAACACAATTTAAATCAGCTTTTAGGGTCAACAGTCAGGCACACTGCTGTTAGTGTCAATTTGGCAACCTGCACTTGCGCGTGTTTTAAATCAGGTGTGCAATGCCTAGTTCAACCACTGGGTGTCAAACTCACATACTGCACCTTTAAAATTTGCTTTGGATGTTTTCTTTACATTGGACTGACAAAAAAAAAAAAAAAAAAAACCTTGAAAAGCTCCAATCCTCAGAACTGACAGGTACAGATAGATGCTTGAAAAAAGAGTGTTTTTGCCTTCAGTCTCTCGCTTTAAAGAAAGGGTGAATGGATGAATTTAAAAATGGGTGACATTTGAGTCTCTGAACATCTCTCTTGTGAAGATTTGTGATATGTGTGTGTCTTTCTCGGGGGAAGTGTGGCCTGTCAGGCTCGTCCAGCTATTGTGTCAGTGGATATGAAGCGAAAGTGATAAAGTGTCTTTTGTGTGCCTGTGGTTTTGTGCGGATCTCTCTCTGGCAGTGACCCCTGGCTGGCCTCCCCTGCGCAGATCTGGCAGGTTTACGTGCATTACTTGCAAAGGATGGACCTGAGCTGTGTGTGTGGTGCTCTGAGCTGGCATTCGCTGCTTCTGCGTGGCACACAAGCCATTCGCAGGGTCAAGTGCTACACGTCGCATCCCCTCGAGCTTCAGGTACGCATTTCAGGGTCAAAGGAAACATTCTGATTGGGGTAGCAGGCGCTGATCGGGGATTATGTGGCCTGTTTTTCCCTATAAATATGGGAATGATGAAAAATAATGAGATGGTAAGTAAGATGTCAAGTTTTTTTTTTTTTTTTTTTGCTCCGAGCATGACTTTAAAGTTCAACTGTTTTTTGTTTGTCTTTTAATTTTCTTCTTCAAAAAATATGAGTACTATAATCAATATTGCAACATTTTTTTTACTTTAGATTTAGAGCATGTTTGCCTTAAGTTATATAAGATTAAATATAAGTTATAAATAAATGATTGCAGAAAATAGTAAGTTACTAAATCTGACAACAAAACATTGAAATTACAAAAGCAAAATCCAAAAAGTGTGTGATGGCAACATTGTAGATTTACTTTACATAAAAGTAACGTTCACCCAAACATGAGCATTGAGTGAACTCCAAAATCATTGTGAATCTACACTCAACGGCTACTTTTTTAGGTACACGTTACTAGTACTAGGTTGGACCCCCTTTTGCCTTCATAACTGCCTTAATCCTTCATGGCATTCAACAAGGTACTGAAAATATTTATAAGAGATTTTGGTCCATATTGTCATGATAGCATCACACAGTTGCTGCAGATTTTTCGGCTACACATCCATGATGTGAATCTACCATTCCACCACATCCCAAAGGTGCTCTATTGGAACGAGATCTGGTGACTGTGGAGGCGGTTTGAGTACAGTGAACTCATTTTCATGTTCAAGAAACCAGTCTGAGATGATTTGTGCTTTTTCAAGTTTTGGTGAGTCTATGTGAATTGTAGCCTTAGTTTTCTGTTCTTTCCTGACATCTCCCTAGAGATGGTTGTGCTTGAAAATCACAGTAGATCAGCAGTTTCTGAAATACTCCGACCAGCCCGTCTGGCACCAAAAACCATGCCATGTTCAAAGTAGCAGATCGTCTTGACCATGTCTACATGCCTAAATGCATTGAGTTGCTGCCATGTGATTGGCTAATAAGAAATTTGTGTTAACGAGCAGTTGGTACCTAATAAAGTGGCCGTTGAGTGTGTATTTTTTTATTTTTTATTTACTTTGTGTAGTCATGAAGTTTGCCCTGTGCGCTCGCGCTTTTTTGGGTGCGTTAATCTTGTCGATAATATTATTATTATAATTGCTTTGTATAGTTTTTATTTTACATTATTCAGGTGATACAATATTTTTCTTTATGACATAAATATTTTTGTATATATGTAATAAGTTGTTTAAAATTGTGTTTAGTTTTTTTCAGTGTAACTCACAAAAAGCAAAGCGATTTTAGTAGCTTTTTTTCAGTCTCTCTTTAGCCTTTACTGTACATTTGCTAAATATATGTCATCAGCTCCCACTATAAAGCACCTCAAGATGACTAGTAGACTCTAATAATATGTATTACTGCATGCCCTAAAAAATATGAACAGCAGCCTCAAACGTACATCACACAGTGCAGTAATAAAAACAATAAACCCCATTTGGTTGCAGCAGCATCAATAATTTGCTCTATTCAGCAAACTGCAGCAAAGAAACCCACAAAGCTTTAATGCAAATACACACAGAAAAGGGAAGAAGAATAATGAAACCTGAATTATCCAAGCATCATAAATCTCATAACGGGAATATCATGTTATTGTAAATATGCAAGCTGAGCAAATCCAGCAGCTCCCATGTTAACAGTGCTCTGTGTGCTCATATAGACCTTACTGTTGGGTTAATTGGTCTCATAGTAATGTTATACATCAGGCGCCAAGAAAAGATGATGAAGCAAACTAGCTCTACATTGTGAGCTTCTTGTGTTTTTTTTTTTCTGACGTCCTGCATGTAGAGTTTTTCCCTGAAGATGCTGTCTCTGTTTTCTGTGCTTGATGCCAGGAGCTCAGTGAGTGTAAGATCTCCTGTGTTTGTGTGATCCAGGTGGATCCAGCTGAAGTTTTCGCTCTGCCGGCTCAGGGAGTTCAGGATGTTCGTGTGGGCCTGAGGGCTCTGAGGGCTGGAAGTCGCTTCTTTTACCTCAATGTTGTTGATGTGGACACACGGCAGCTCGTGGACTCCTGGCTGCTGTGCATCACATGCCGACAGCCTGTAATCTCCAAGGTGAGGGAGGAAAATGAGTGCAACTGTACAGTTCAAACCCCACATTCAGTTTCTCCATGATAAAGTTAGCATATAAACCTATGTCAATATGGTATGAACTGTATTTAGTTATATATTGTAAATATATACACAGTTGAAGTCTGAACTATTAGCCCACCTGTTTGTTTTTTTTCCCCAATTTCTGTTTAACGGAGATTTGTTTTCAGCATATTTCTAAACATAATAGTGGCTAATAATTCTGACTTCAACTGTCTGTGTGTGTGTGTATGTGTGTGTGTGTATATATATATATATATATATATATATATATATATATATATATATATATATATATATATATATATATATATATATATATATATATTAGTGCTGTCAATAATCGATTAAAAAAAATTTAACTAATTAATCGCACCTTTTTAAAAAAATTAATCGCGATTAATCACATTTAAAATACTGAAACTTTTAATTTTGCCTATTTAAATGTAAAATTAATGTAAACGCAAGAAAAAAATATTTAAATTCAAAATATTATTGTTTAATAGAATTTTTGTTTAACTTGTAACACAGATTTCTTCATGTAAACAACATACCCACAATAAACCATCAAGATCCTGGCTTGACAGCCATATTTATTACAGAAATTAAAACACAGGCATATTTATGACATTTACATTTCAAAACAATCAATGCCAATAAAGAAAACATTGATTTCCATGTTGGATTCTAAGTGGACTGCAAAAAAATGCCAAAATACAGGAATTGCAGATATGGAAAATGAAAAATTATAATAATAAACTATAGAATACAAACTGTTGCACTCATTGTAAAGTTTTATTGCTGTGAGTTGAGAACAATAACTATAGAGTAGAAACAATTTTGCTTAATCCTCCTTTACATTCATCCAGTTGCTAAGACTAGGAGAATCACGCAAGTGCACAGAAACTCCCAAATGCCCGCAAATGAATGATAATTTCTTGCAAACCGGACGTTAAATACATTGCACACCCCTCTCGCCCCTACTCCAATACGTCGCTCACTCCACCCCTGACACCCCTCATCGGGCCTGACACAGACACACACACAGACAGACACACACAACGCGCTGCAGACGTTTTGGCCCCAACGGCCTTCCATACTGGAGCGACTCCCCTCAGATTCAACACGCATGATCACGTTCATCAAATTTACTAAGCGTCCTAAACTAAGCATCCTAAAGTATTACTGTATTTCACAAGGATTCTGACACAACAACGCGAAGCATACGCTTTCGTTGCGTTTAATGAGGAAACACGCTAAACTTGGAGGGCTCATGCTGAAAGGCAGACTAATGCCCTGTCTTTGACAGCTCGCGACTTCACCAGACGTTCTAAATACATTTACATAAGACACCAATACTCCGATTTTAATATAATTAAGATAATACTCTTATTTAAATTCTACCGTGTAGCCTTAAAAGGAACCTTACCTTAAAGGAACACAGAGTCACGAAATGCGGAGGATTTTCTTTCTGTTCGCCATGCGGTATCAACTTACAACAGATGTTGAAAGTTAAAAATGAAACACCCGAAATTTCATGAAACTCTGGATAACTTGTGATGCAACTAATTGTTTTATACTGAAACTTGCCTTCGAAAAGGAGAGGGTGCTCGCTGCAGAGCCATTTGAGGAGAGCTGAGCTCCAGCGAGGGGGAGCTTAAGCTTGAGCTCCACCTTTTTTGCACTTCTTCTACGAGTGATGTCACTGGGGGTAGGGTTAGGGGTGGGGTTGGTGTACGCATTAAAACAGCTTACAGGAGGAGGAGCGACAGCTCACGCTCCCCCTCGCTGGAGCTCAGCTCTCCTCAAATGGCTCTGCAGCGAGCACCACTTGTCAAAAAGTGCTTCCTTGGTCTTATCCACATTTATTGCATGTTGAACACACGTCCACCACAACAGGAAGTAAAAAAAACTTGAACTGCGTTAATTGCGTAAATTTTTTTATAACGCGTTAATTATTTAAAATTAATCGCATGCGTTAACGCGTTAATTTTGACAGCGCTTATATATATATATATATATATATATATATATATATATATATATATATATATATATATATATATATATATATATTTATATAATAGGTGGGCATAGAATAATTTTTCAAATCTAGATTAATCTTAGAATTAATTTAGATTAAAATGGCTCATTTGAATTCTGCCGAAGGCGTTCAGAATATGTGTGCTGCCCAAATAATCTCTAAATAAAAGTCTTTGAGAACGGGTTTCTCAAGCCAGGTGGCACATTAGACCAGGGGCTCATCTCCTGTTTCCAAAATGCATCACAAACTGCTTGAGAAACTGTTCTACTATGATAATTGGTAATGAAAATAAATGATGTTCTATAAGATGTACTTGTGTTTACTAACTGTTTATTCAGTTAAACATGAATTTTGAACTGTCGGCCTACATAAGCTCAAAACAGCAATTTTTTGATCTGATTAAAGTCATAACTAAGCTAAACAGAAATGGAATTAAGACATGTGGAGTATGCATATATTAGTGGCATTATTGAAATAAACATGTAGGAAACACCCATACACGCTCACATTCTCACACACACTCATACACTTTGACCAAATTAATTTTTCCAATTCACCTATATCGCATGTCTTTGAGCGGTGGGGGAAACCTGAGCACCTGGAAGAAACCCATGAGAACATAGGGAGAACATGCAGACTCCACAAAAAAACGCTAACTGGATAGCTGGAACTCGAACCAGCAACCTTCTTGCTGTGAGGTGACAGTGCTAATCACTGAGTCACCGTGACACCCCTACTTTTTTATTTTATTTTTGTTAACATTTTAGGTTAATAAGTCCTTATTTTGCTGAAATAAAGTAAAAGTTTCAAATCTATTTAATTCTTCCCCCGACTGAAGATTTTCCTAACAGTCTAACAGTCATTCATTTAAGCAATTATTTAAATAGTAGTACATTTATGATATTAATTTCATTATTTTACTATAAATACTGGAAGAAAATGTTTCATAATTGAGAATGTATATAATGAGAAATGCGTTTTAAATGCACACATGAAAACTTTTTAGTGAAATCTAAATTAATAGTTGAAAATCGCCCTGTACTTATTCATTTATTTTGGTAATTTAGTTTTTATAGTTCTTATAAATAAACATATTTATTTAATTTGGTATTATTTATGATATAATTCCACTATTTTACTATATATGCCGGAAGAAAATGTTTCGTAACTGAGAATGTATAGCAAGAGAAATGCCTTTTAAATCCACACATGAAAACTTTTTAGTAAAATCTAAATTACTAGTTGAAATCGCCCTGTACTTATTTATTTATTTTGGTTATTGGTTAAAATTAAGATAAATCAAACTGACACACTGAAGATAAAAATCATCTTAATCAGGCTGACAGACAAGACTTCGGTTGAAACATTGAATAAAAAAAAATCCCCACATGATATGATGCGATGTACAATCCACAATGTTAGTTATTCTTCGCCTATTTAGGATTTTAGCAGGGGAATGGCTAGCACTGAAAGGGTCTTAAAATTTCAGCTCCGTGACAGAGGATGTGGTGCATGAAGTCAGTGCTGGTGATTTAAACCTGACATTTTTACTCCAGTTATTTTACAGTGCGTATCTCGCCATGTGCTTTAACCTCCCCAGGCGTTCGAAATCAGCGTTCCTGTAGAAGGAGGGAAGGGCAGCAATAAAAAAATCAGTTTCACAAACCCCTACTCGTCCTCCAGAGTCTTCAATCTGCGCACCGACCGCCCGGACCTGCTACACTTTAAAGAGGAGCAGTTTCAGGTAAGGCAATCCAGCACGCCTTGAACTTTGTTACTGTTTAACAGCGAATGTTTTTTAAACCAGAGCCTAGAGGAGAAGGATCTTGACACGTCTCTGTCTGGGAATCAATCGGCGTCTGTCTTAACTGTCATTCTCAGACACGATACACAGTATGTGAAGTTCTCTGTATATCGGAGAACTCAATTTGTGCCCCTTCTCGCAATGCCTCGTCCCCTGAGGAAACCATAAAGCTGCGTTCCAAAAACAAGTCTGTTTCTCACAGTCAGATAGCAAACGTTCAATATCTCTCACCTTTAGGGCTCAGAATGATGCGTGTAGGTCTTCCATCCCTGCGTTAGACTTCAATTAAAAGCTGTTAATTGATTAGGTGATCAATACACGACCGTTGGCTATTACTCCAGATGGAGACACGGAACATTAGTTAGCCACAGGGACAGACTGTCTGGGATATATTACTATGGCTTTGGAGGTCACAAAGTAATTTTTCCCTATCGCCATTTTGAGCAGAAATGGTGTAAAACAGACCAGGGTAAGATGTTAATTTCATCATTCAGTGCCCTCATTGATCGCCGTATGGTTTAGTGAGTTTCACACCCCGTATCTGGGCAATAAATAGCGGAACAATGTGAAATATGCAAGTGACAGTATTGAACACAATGGATTAATGACACCTCGGCGTCAAATAAAAGCGGAGAAGCTCATAAAGAAAGGAAATGGCCTGTTCCATTTTCTTGCTAGTCAACACGGCTTCAATTATCTTCTCTCGCGCTGGATTTATGGGCTCTATATTTTTGAAAAATGTGGCTGGAGATGTTGCTCTTTTTTTTCACCTTCTTCGAGAAATAACAACTGTGTCATCGTAAAATAGGCGCAGAGCCAAAAGGCAACGGAGGAATCGATACGTGCGAGCTTTTGAGGAGATTATGAACTAAATCCTCCACTGTGTTCCATATGTCTTAGTCAGCCATTAGAGATAATGTATAAAGACAAAGGGAGAGCAATTTCTCTCATCTTCCTCTAAAAACTGGAGTGCAACCAATTTCTGTAACAACTGAGCTCAGGAATAGCAATGGGAATTACGGAGAATTTAACGATTGAAGATTCTAGTTCCACTTAAAGAACCAGTTCAGCCAAAGCACATCATTTACTCGATTTCATGCCATTCCAAACCTGTACGGTCTTCTTTCTTCTGTGGGACAATATTCAAGCCACTCTTTTAAATGTAATGAAAGTGAATGAGCACTGTGGCTGTAAAGCTTTAAAATAACAATTTTGTTAACAACATTGAAGTACTTCACAATTGTGTACAGTGGTCCCTCGCCATAACGTGGTTCACCTTTCATGTCATGGATTTTTTTTTTTGTGCATTTTGACATGCTTTTTTTTTTTCACAGTGCATTGTCCTAATTAGTGCAATTTGTTCTGTATCCTGATTGGCTGTAGACCATTGTCAATTAATCTGCTCCATGGCGTGACTCCTGTACAGTACAGAATTCGTTCAGCTTGCCAAACTGACATTAATCTTTGATCGCTGGCAGGGTGACTTGCTGTGCTGTATGTTTGCAAGTTTTCTCTCCAACAAAGCCCATAATGTCGGTAAAACATTCTGCACCCTTACAGGCGCACACGGTAGCACCCAAAAGGCAGAGGAAGATGCTGACCATCGCACAAAAAGTTGAACTTCCGGACATGCTACAGGAAGGTAGAAGTTAAGAGAGTGTTTAAACAAGAGAAAAGCGTGGAAAGTTAATGCCTATCTGAGAACCTAGTGTAGTAAGGGGTTTAACAGCCTTAAAACATCCATAATAAATAAGCACACTTCGCGGATTTCACCTATTGTGGGCGATTTTTTTTTTTTTACGTAAATCCCACGATTAGCGAGGGACCTCTGTATTCAGAAAATACTTTTGATGGAAAACCTCAGATTTGGTATAGTGGACTAGCGTTATATTTGGCCTTGTACTGTAAGTATAAAATCAATACAGGTTTCCCATAACAATTGCTATAAAACGCCATTTCACACACTCTGAAAATAATAGGAATATTACTAACTGTTTACTTTTTCACAACATTATGCTAATATTGACACAAGAATGCAGTTAAAGAGTTTTTGTTAACTACAACTAAATTTATCAAAAACTACTTTTTAATAACTAAACTAAAGCTGTATATGTTTGAAATATAAGATAAAAAACTAATTATATTATTTAAAAACAAACACTTTTGCATATGTAAGTATTGCCAATCTTTAAAGTACACCTGTAACAAGGAAATATGATAATGCTTTAAAATAGGGTCCTTTTTGTAGCATTTTAACTACATTGGTTAACATTATCTATTGACATTAACTTCTGCAGCATTTCATGTGTATTATTGTTATTATAATTAATATTTTATGTGTTACGTGTGGTTTCTGTAATATTTATTGGCAAAGTAAAATTTATTCTTAAAATAAATGTATTTGTATTTTAATGTACAGTATTAGTTATTTTTATTTTATATTAATATTTTACTTAGTATTATTAATTCATAACGTTCATTGTGGTTCGCAGTGGGTAGTGCTGTCGCCTCACAGCAAGAAGGTCGCTGGTTCGAGCCTCGGCTGGGTCAGTTTCTGTGTAGAGTTTGCATGTTCTATCTGTTCTATCCACAGTCCAAAGACATGCGGTACAGGTGAATTGGATGGGTAGTAAAAAATATGCTGGATAAGTTGGCGGTTCTTTCCGCTGTGGAGACCCCAGATTAATAAAGGGATTAAGCTGAAAAAAAAATGAATGAATGAAATACTTACATATGCAAATTCAATTTAATTCATGTTTATTTCTATAGCGCTTTTACAATGTAGATTGTGTTAAAGCAGTTTAACATAGTAATTCTGGTCAATTGAACTGTGGTAGTCCAGTTTTAAGATTTGCAGTTCAGTTTAGTTCAGTTCAGTGTGGTTTAATTTTTACTGCTGAAAGTCCAAACACTGAAGAGCAAATTTATCGATGGGCAGCTCTACAAGTCCCAAACCATGCAAGCTTGTAGCGAGGAACACAATTTATACCAATTTCGGCAATTTCACTAGTTGGCGAAAGTGAAGAAAAGAAAAAAACTCAAGAGAAACCAGGCTCAGGTGGACACAACCATTTCTCCTCTGGCCAAACTTCTTGTGCAGAGCTGCAGTCTAGATACAGCAAGCTGGAAAACACTGGCATTCATCATGGAGAAACTGCAGGTGAGAGTAGGTCACCGGCGGGGGTTTAGGCTGGCCCACGGGATCAATGTAAAGACTTGTCTGTCACTGGGGTCTTTCAGAAATCATGCTCATGCTCTCCACTCCTTGACCGCCACAGAATCAGCTCAGAAAACGGCCTGGTACAGGATTATGGATACCTCTAGAAGTCCTCTGTGGTTGACATCATCTCTTCTCAGGTCTTGGATCAGATCAATGGCGCTGCACAATCTCTAGAGGCCTCGGAATGAGTAAAATAAGAAAATAATTAGCTTAGCTGCTGTTTATAATGTATTTAGAGAAGAGATTTTAAATATCAATGCGAAAATAAAGACATAGATACATCATACCGTTATGAGATGCATTGTGTGTACGCCTTACAAAAAGAAAGGTCTTTAATTAGTTTTGAACTGAGAGAGTGTCTGAGCCTCAGACGTTATCAGAATGGCTATTCCAGAGTTTAGGAGCCATAAATGAGATGGCTCAGCATCCTTTAGTAGACTTTGCTTTTTTGGGTACTACCAGAAGCCCTGAGTTTTGAGATATTAAAGAGCGGGTTGCATACATACACACATACGTGCATACATACATTAATGTTTAACCTGATTCTTGCTGATTTTGCAATTCTCTGATGTCTATTTTTACATGCCACTTACATTGTTATGTGTGTGTGCAAATAAATACATATTAATATGTGTGTGTTTGTGTGTTATAGATTGGAGGAGGAGAGCTCTACACCATTGGCCTGCGCTTTGCTCCAAGTCAGAACCCCGGCATGGAAGAGATTCTCATCTTCATAAATGACAAACAGGACAAGAATGAGGACACTTACTGTGTTCGAGTCCAGTACAGATAACACAACACCATCACACAACAAACTGATAAATAAACATTCATACACATCATGCACATTTATTTTTGCTAATATTATAAAGTTGATATAAACAACACGCATTAAAAAACAGATCAGACATATATTTAATATATAAATGCAGGTAATGAGCGAGATTCAAGAAATGGTTCACCCAAAAATTGTAATTTCTTCATTATTAACTCACCCTCAAGTGTTTTTTTCTGTTGAACACAGAAGAAGAGCATTTGATGAATGTTGAAAACCGACTTTGACATCCTTAGTAAGAATATTAAATGCTAGGGAGGTCAATAACTACTGGTTTCAAGTAGAAAGTGAATAAATAATGACAAGAGTTTTCATTTTCGGGTGAACTGTCCCTTTAACTGCATGCAGCTGAGTGAAACGTCTCTCACGTGTTTGGAGAAAACCACCCTGCGGTGCTGAAGCTGAAAGCGAGAAGGGATTCTCTGTAGAGCTGATGCTCATATCTGCGCTCTTGATGTGTGTGTGTGTTTATGGTTGTGCTGAAGCCCTGCTGTGATGTGTCATTAGCAGCGGAGAGCCGATGGCCACTTGCCCAGGACTTCAGCTCTAGATCTTCAGTAAGCAAGACGTGTGTGTATGACCAATCATTTTATTTGATCAAGTGTTCAGAGTTTTACGGTTGCACTCAATGAGGAAAGAGTGCTTACATATTGGGAAGAAAACACACTCATCTTTTATTGTGTTTTTTGTACTAGCATCAATAAAATGCTTTTTTTGGGGAATGATTCTTTGTATCAGTGGTGACATGCTGTGTCAGATAGTGCTGTTGTGCAGTGTGTGTTTGCGGCAACTGAGAAGGGTTTGCATTAACATCCGTGGACTAATCTCCTGGCTCCTATTAGAGCTACAGACGCTCTGAGTTTGAGATCACATAGATGACAATAAAATAGAGAACATTGACAATTTAGAATGACAAATATTGCTCCTCATCCATACTGGAGTTTTGGAGTTTCAGTTTACACTATATGCCCTAAATCACGTGCTACACGACCATTCACGCTCACTGGGAATGCGCATATTTTGCTAGAATTTGTACTTGCTGCCTATGGGTTGCATAATAGTCATATGAAAGGGGCTTAACGAATCAATTTCTATTTCTATCAAACTAAAGCAGGGTCTGTATTGTTTTCAAAATACTGTTTTCATGTGACGGCGATGCTGGATGTCAGATATAACCAATGCTAAGCAGGGCTGAGCCTGGCAAGTACCTAGATGGAGGACCACATGGGAAAACTAGGTTGCTGTTGAAAGTGGTGTCAGTGAGGCCAGCAGGGGGCACTAAACCTGTGGCCTGTGTGAGTCCTAATGCCCCAGTAAAGTTAAGGGGACACTTTTCTGTCAGTGAGCGATGTTAAAGCGTGGTTCTGACTCTCTGTTGTCATTTAAAAATCCCATGACGAGAGAAAATTAGATAGACTACATTAATTAATGGCAAAACAGTAGATTTACATACAGTTTGGCAACTTTTTCTATTGTGTTTGAAAACATAGCTTTTTATGTAACCCGTCTTACATATCTAACCCTGTCTGGATCTGTCTTTTTTCTTGCTTTTGAATCTCTAAAACTCATCTAAAAGATTATTAGAAAAAGAAATTGGCTGACGTTTAACAGTAATGACTTACTTAGGTGTTAATTGCTAATTTCTTCTTATTATATTTATTTATTTACTTTTGTTAGTTTGTTAGTTTTTTACTTTATTTTTCTCTGAATATGGTTCAGAGAGGAAGGAATGTGATTAATTACCACCCAATATTGTGAAACATATTATGGTTTTTCTTTCACTCACTTATAATAACTCTCTGATTGAGAATTGCCACTTCTGGTAAAAAGTAGGGGTGTAACCCCAAATGTCCTCCATCAGCCCTTACCCATCATGGCCTGCCAATCATCCCCATCCATTGAGTTGACTGTCTCTTAACTCCTCCTATAGCTGGTGTGTGGTGAGTGTACTGGCACCATTGTCCTGTGGATGCCGTCACATCATCCAATTTGATGCTGCACACTGGGGGTGGAGTGGGGAGACCCCTTCATGATTGTGAAGTGCTTTACGTGTATGTCCACTGATTATAAATGCCCTATATAAATACATATTACATTACATAACAAGACGAATGCATTTAAAAACAAAATGCTCTAGTGTAATTGGCACCTCAGTTGAGATTATTCCTTCCTCTTTGCTTTAGTTATAGCACAAAATAAACAATGATGGACATCGTTAAACAATCACACATATAGACTTCCCTCACTGTATCACAAAGCTTGTTGTGTACCTTTACACACCTGTTAATCAGCACAACGTTTTCAGCATTGAAGAAAAAACTACAATTTAAAATATATTTCAAGAGTTCCCACTTAGATATGCTTGGCACTTATAGCAGGTTTGGCATGCTGTCCCGGGAGAGAACCCTGAGCTCGGAGATAATTGAGCCCAGGGCTCCCGCCCGGTCTAGAAGCATATCAGGAGAACCGAGATCAGGTAGGTCTCGATCGCTGCCCCTTTAAAAGGGGAGAAAAAAAAGGAGGAGATGGGGTGGAAGGGGGGATTCTTCCAAAACGAAGATAGAGCAATAAGGAGAAAGTGATCTCTTTATATTAATCTAGGATCATTCTGATCACTAGATTGATTCTGATCAATTTACTGATTACGGATGAGTGGCCAGCGGTGCACAATCATATCACGTGCTCCTCTCGAAATTAGTTTATGAAACTTCACTATGATAAAAAAAAGACTCCCTAAACCTGTACAAATATTTCACAATATAATTTTTTTCAGTACTGGGTTGCCAGAGTAGCTGGCGATATTGCAAAAAAAAAAAAAAAAAAAAAAAAAAAGATCATGATATCATGTTTCATATCATTAAATATCGGTAATTATGGAATATTTTTTACAATTCATTTAGGAATATTAGTATTTTTCAAAACCACTTTATTTTAATTTGCCAATATTACTAAAGTAAATAGACTTAATAGTCAAAAGCAAAAATATTCAAATAAATTATCTGATTTCTTTATAATAAAATAAACATACAAGTTAAAAGGGACTCTTAAACTTGATAAATAAAATGTTACAAAGTGTATGCAATGGTAAAGAATAAATACTGAACAATCAAAGCAAACTTTAAGATGTGAATAACAACGATACAGTAAACCTCAAACTAGGTCAACAACACAAAAATCTAATAATCAAATCTGAGCCTTCAAGTAAGGGAATCAGTCATCATTATTCAAATACATACTGCAACATTACAAATAGTAAAACTGAAAGACTTCATTACCCCTATGCTAAAAACTAGTGGGTGCTAGTGGTTGGGATGCACAAGAAAAGAAACCAAAAAGCCAATCTGGTGACATCCTTACATTCTTTTCTTTTTTTTATTTATTTACAATCTCCTCACTGCTGCTATTTGGCACTCAATTTTGCATTCGTTATTCTGACCTAAAGTGATTAGTGCGTGCTTGTTGATTCTTTGTCCATTTACTATGGACTTTGCATTCATGCTCCTTCATCAACCATTTTCTCAGAGGATAACAAAGGGGAAAAACATTGCTGCAGCTCTGATGCAAGTTTAAGGAGAAAATTAAAAACGTTGTGCAAGTTGCACGCCTCCATTGAAAATGACAAATTAACACCCCAAGCTTATTGGCATTGCCTCTAAGGCTTGTGTTCAGAAACCACATTTTAATAAAACTATAGTGCTTCATACCGAAACAACATTCCAAATCTTTTTTTTTTTTTTTTTTTTTTTAGCGAAATTGACAATAGTGTTCAGTCAATAATTATTGATAACAATTTTATCACCCAGCCCTATTTGGCAGCTCATTCCGCTGTGGCATTGCCTATTCTCTGAACAAGATAATATTTAATCTTATAATAATAAGAGTGTGTGTTGGGAATAAAAAGGTGTGTGTGTGTGTGTTGGAAATAAGTGAAAATGTAACAGTGAACAGTGTTGGTTGCAAAAGTTTGTAATTTCTTCTTTTTTTCCCCATCTCATGCAGCTGAAGTTCTGCTGTTATTAAAGCAAAAGGAGGGCAAACCAAATAATAAGACGTTCTGATAAAGTTTCAATTTCGCTTTCGAATTTCATGCAACTTTTCCCCCTCAAATGGTTATGCTGATTATAAAACTTGTAATGAAAATTAGAACACAAGTAGATACACTTCCAATTTATCCCCTTAAGTTTGGGACCACCCTTTGTGTGTGTGCGCCTAAGAGCAATACATTATGAGTTCATTTCAGGCTTCTGGGCACACAGAATTTATATGTATTGTGTATTCATATTTTCCCCAGAGAAACTATATTGGCTGAACAAACATCAGAAATTCCTCCTGAGGCCCATTAATGCCTCCTAAACCCCTACACTTACCTTGGCACAACCACTGAAACACTTCACAGTAGAATTTGAATAGGCCTCAGTGCATTGTGGGATTTCCCTCACGGATATACTATAGTTCACAGAGGCCTCTGCTGTCCACAGACTGTTGACAGGCCTTTTTTCCCCCCGTTTGTAGATGCTTGTATCTGCATTCTTCATCCGACATTCACGCACACTCTGCAGAGACAGGGCCTTGATGTTGTTTGGTGCCTCTCGGAGAGCTTTGCGTGTGAGCAGAGAGAGTCGAAAAACGCTATCAAAGACACAATGAAAATGTATCATCTTCCTCCGAGGTGCGTCACGAGGGCTTAACCGGAGTCTGTGCGCATGTATATCCGCGCACTGGTGTGAACGGGTGTATTTCTGGCGGGTGAAAATGAGAAGATTTTGAAAGTGCGAGTTTGAGAAGAAGATGGAGAGGTGTTGAGACGGAGGTTACAGGATTAAACCCTGCATGTCTCTGGTGGAGAATAGATGATCTCGGCAGCAGTAAACGCAGTGGTGTCTTAATGAGCAGATCTGGGTGAACATATGGAGCGTGTTTGTAGCCCGCATCAATTTGCTTGTCGTCGTCATTACCTTACTCCTTCTTTTTCATCTCTGTGGTTTTTGGCAGCCTGTAGATGGCAGCCCTCACCATGATGGGATAGAGGAGAAAGCAATAAAACAGAATGCCTGGAAACCACATAACTGATACGGTGTGTGCGTGAAGCGTGTTTGGGTTTGTGTGTTGAAATAACAGCCCCTGTCTGTTCTATGACACATGCTGTCGCTCAGTCTCTTTTTCATTTGGCCTCGCTGCGGTTTCAGCTGGGTTTGGGCCTTTGTGGCTCTAGATTGGTGATTTTTTTTTTGGTTTGTTTTTTATTATTATTCGACTTCAGGATGTTCAAGGATGTGTGTTATATATTGCTCAGGCTGAAGGGATTAGTGGCCTAGTCCTGCAATTGCTAATGCTTGAGTTTGCTGTTGTAGTGTTTTTGAAAGTGTTGTAATGTATTATTAAATGTTACTGAATTAATTTATGCATTGATAATAAGAAGGATTTGTTACTTGTTACCGTTTTGAGAAACTCAATTATACTTTGTTTGAAATATTCTCAGATTCATTTTAACAAATAATTTGTTGAATTTAATTTTAGGTTTTGCTGCTGTTTATGTTTCTGTTGTTTATGTTTTGCCATAGCAGAACTTAAAAGCATTTTTTATTTTTATATTAAACTGAATCACAATCCAAGTTAACATTTTACCCTAAAAACTGTGGAAATCTGCTGAAAAAAGAAATCATTAAAAAAATCATGACTGTTTTGTATTTTTTGTTTTTTTTTGTCAGGAGATGAAAGCCCTTTT